GTTCTTGAAATCAAAAGGAATCACTCATGAAGTTTCGAATCCGTATCATCCTCAATCGCAAGGAGTAGTTGAAAGAGCAAATAGAAATGTAGGAGATAGACTTAGAACATTCATAATCGAAAATGGTTTGAATGAAGGAATTGATAAAGTATTAAAATGGAATGTCTATTCTATTAATGCCTCAATTCATAAAATTCATCGATTTTCTCCTCACTTCTTAATCTTTGGAAAGAATCCTAATTCTCCGATCGATAATCAATTGTCGATTTCGTCGTTTACTAATAAATCAGTTGATCAAGCAAGAAAATTAACGAAAGCTCGTTTAGCCGCTCAACAAATTTATTACCAAAATCTACTCAGACAGTTAACAAAACCGAATCCATATTCAGTAGGAGATTTTGTTTAATTAAAATTCTGCTCCATCAATTGGAACAACTAAGAAATTAGTTCCAAAGTATCATGGTCCCTATTTAGTTCTTGGTGTAAGAAAAGGTTCAGTATTGTTATTAAATCCTAATAATCTTGAACAATTTACCTCAAATTTACAATTAACTAAACCCTTTAATTGTCAATTGAATGAAAGTTTACTGAGTTTAAAAAATGAATATTTTGATTGTAATTCTGATGATTGGTTAGTTGACCAAAATGCGATTAATGAATCTGAATCAAGTTATTATCCTCTAAATAATGACGAATTGCCTGAACAAGTTGAGCTGAGTTCAACAAATGAAATCGTATCAGCTGAATTGAGTGATAATCAATTAACCTCAATTACTGATAATGAACTAAATCAACTTGAGATTAAAAAATTACCTGAGTTTGAAGAGTCAATTCCAATTGAAGAAAATTCAGCTAAAGTGGTGAAAAAGAGAGCTACATATAAAACTGCTAATCGTGAAATGTTCAACCCTGAACTTCTCAATAGTGAAAAGCCGGAAACGAGGTCACAACAATTAATTAGTGTTAATTTAATTAATTCAGACAAAAATGTAAAAATTTGGAAAATCAAATTACCCGCTAACAATCAACTCTTTTCTTCTTGGTTACCGATATTGGCGCTTGAAAATACGTTTCTAAGGAAGAGAAACAAAGGAAACCAATGTCCATTGTCTTTCATTTTCAAAGTGTTTGCCCTAATTGACACATCAGTTAAATCAATTGATTCAAATCAAAGTGAAAGTTATTCATTTTCTTTGTGCGAAGTTATTAATTTACTAAAATTAATCATGTCCCAATTCGATGATTGGCCTGAACCCTCAACTAAAAATGATCCAAAAAATTCTGGTAAAAGTGATCCTGATTCTTTGTATCGTAATGCGAAATTAGTTGACCCTCTTCCTAAGTTTGTTGCTGAAGGAAAAGCAAGAAGATATTGGGACTTTGAAGATACTAATGAAGTCGATAATTCTGGTTACCCTGTTCCTAATTTCATCTATGGAAAAATGAAACGATATCCAGCAAAATTACCACCGAAAGAAGAGGAACGACCGTCATATTTAAGAATTGAATTCTTCAAGAAAGCTCGTGAAGAGATTGATCAACAACTCGTTAAATATGAAATGGACAAAAATCTTTATGTTGAATTCATAAAGGAAAAGATGAAGCTCAATGTAATTGAAGATATTGGGTTAATCTCATTCGATCAGTTACCAAAAGGGTTAATCAAATCAAGAGTAATTCATCCTGATTTACTTTCCAAAGTAAAGAAAATTTCCTGTCTATTTTGTGAACAAATTGCAATCGATCCAAGATGTTGTTCATCATGTACAAAAATCTATTGTACTCCATGTGCTGAATGGTTAAGACAAGGAATTACTCAAGTTAATCTACCTCCACCTAAAGAACGAACTGAATTCTTATGTGTTAATGAGAATTGTTTGGTTAAAGCCTCAACATCTAATTCATATGTTAAATTGGTACCAATTGGAGATGAAGAAATAATTGATTTCTATCAAGATGCTAAGTTTACCTGTAATCATGATTGGTGTAAGTTAAGCTTTGATTATATTAATTATGTTAATCACATTTTCACCTGTCGACGTGGACCAATCGATTACTCAATGGACAAAGACTTAAAATACCAAATTTTAAACAAGGTCAAAAATGTGAAAGTATTGGAAAAGCCTAGAACCTTAGCTGGTCTATTACCTCCGCATTTAAAAGCGAAAGATGAAATAGAGGTCATTTCACATGAAGAAAAATGGCAACAAACAGCTAATCGATTTGCGTTTCTACTCAAGATGAGAATGAAAATCCTGATGACCCTCATCTTCAACCAATCTCATTGAGAGCTCATGCTAATTTGTCCCTCAATTGGTGGAACAATTGGAAAATTGGTAAAGATTCAAGAACTCCATTGTCAGAAACGGAAGCTTTTCTAAGAGAAATTGGTTTCCCTTCAATCGATAATAATCCTTATTACCCCGGAGCTGCTGATTTTCCCACCGTGCAAAGTTCTGTTATTCCTGAATATCTTATCAAAGACTCAGTTAATTGGAGAAAGTGGGCTCGTGGTATTACCGATTTTGATGCTGAATCGATCAATTCAGATTCAAGTTCAGTCGTAATGTATTCTGCTTTTGTTGAAGACCCTGAATCTCCGTTCATCAGAGTCAATCCTTTTGATAGATTAGCTCCAGCTGAAGTAGATCATGTTTTAGAATGGTTAGAACAATTTCCTTCTTGTGTTAATAAGAATCAACCATTGGATGTACCTAAAACAACTACTAATCAAAAGAAAGTCTATGCGAGAAATGTTCGACGAAAGATCATCAAATCGTCATGGGACAATAGACCGAAAGCCGTCTTACCAATGATGACTCAAGAAAGAGTTAAACTATTTGCCCTAGCAAGTGAGTCATTGGAAAATAAAGAAACCTCTTATTGCCTATCAATGTTTTGTGCTCCAATAAGAGAAGGTGATAAACTAAAACCAAGACCAATTTGGGTAACAATTGTAGATGGAAATCTAAGTGTGGTCTACGAAACTTTTGTTCGTTACTCATCAATCGAATTAAGTGATGTAAATTACAATGGTTTGACTCGACAAGACCTGAAGTATGGTCGTAACCTTCGAACAGTACGAGACCAAGTTATCAAATATCTCGTTTGTGCAACTCGAATCATTGGTTATGGAATAATTAATCAATTTAAAAATATTGGCCTTACTTCTCATGAGATCAATCAACTATTACCCTCATGTCGAGAGATAAATCAATTTTACTCTCCGTATTATCAATCAGCCTTAAATTTACAAGCCATTGCTTTTCTCTGGTTCCTGGTTACGTTATACCTATTCATTCACCTGTAGTGGAAGCTATTACAGCTATGAGATTATTCATTTTCCTATGGAAGGACATTGAAGAAATCGCCCTGACTCTTGGTGGAATTCACCATAAAAATGCTCAATTAACCTGTGCTAATACTATTACAAGTTCTCTCTTGTATTATTTCGACTCCCAAGTTCAAGCAGGAAAATTCTCATGGCCAGAGGAATGGAAACAAAATCCAAGGATGAAATTAATCCCTTATTACAATACAGAAAATTGTGTACCACCGGACATGTCAATGGTCAATCAATTACTATCATCATGGGCCAAGGAATTGAAGGAATTTGACGAAAGAGAAAATTCAGAAAATGGTTCTTCCCAAAGAATCAAGCAAATCAAGTTGAAAGAAGATTCTGATTAATCTCCGTAATCAAAAGAGAGTATCTTAATCAAGTGCGAGGGGTGTGAAGGGTAAAAATTGACTCTCTCATGATTAACTTCAATTAATCAAAATTGTCAAGAGAATTTAAATTGGAACCAATAAGATTGCAATTTAAACAAAGTCCCCAAAGATTTTCCCTCTTTCTTTTCTTTGTTCTCTTTCTTCATTTTCTATTTTCATTTTTTGTTCTTTTCTAAAATGTAATTTTTTAGATTAGTTTGGCTTAAATTAGCCACATATTTTCTTAATTATGTCCCAAGTGAATTAATTTTGTTTTCTAAATGTAACCAGTAATCTGTTGTCCCAACAACAATTACATTCTTTAAGATGTTTCCTTTTCCGTTCCAATTCACATAAATAGTGAACCCAAAAAATGTAACAATCAGAGTTAGTTTCATCTTCAACTTGTTCAAATATAAAAGTGTCTCAGTTTTTCTTGTTCCCTGAAATTCTGTCTTGTTAATTACTCTAGTAATTCATTGTGATTAGTGTTGTGAGTCTGATTTAGCCTTGACATAATCAACAAACGACTATCCAAGATACGAATCGAAATCAGGTAAAATTGTGAAAGGACCTGAGTGCATCTTCTACATTTAATTGATTCTTTCATTTAAATAAATTCAAATTAAACACTTTCAATCTATTATACACTGACAGTCAATATTTTTCGTTACAACAATTATATTTAATTGTGGTACTAATACTTGACCAAATTGAACCAAATTTTCACAATTTATTCTTAACTCCGATAGCAATCATCTGGTCAAAATTTTTAAAATTTAGAATAGCTTAAGCTGGTTAAATTAGTGCTGATTGATTAAAAAACCCAAATAAACGGTTCAAAATTTTTCGTTGGTCCTCCGTTTTCATTGATAGAGATATTTTTTAGATTTTATTGTTGTGAAAGTATATTGTCTAGATCTCAACGATTAATTTGAGAGATTTTTTATTTAAATTGGATGAGAAATAAAAAAGTTATATCAGATCGAATTTAACATGGGAGTCTATGGAAAATGACGAGTTTTGGCCTTTTAATCTTAGACTGTCAGGGTCAGTGCCATGAAAACCCGACAACTTGTAGTGCTATTGGAGTTAAGAATAAATTGTGAAAATTTGGTTCAATTTGGTCAAGTATTAGTACCACAATTAAATATAATTGTTGTAACGAAAAATATTGACTGGCAGTGTAGTCGGTTAAACTATCGAAACAATTATCTACTTAAAAGAAGCGCTTAATGTTAATCAAACGATTTCATCAGCTGTCAACAATTCAAAGGGAAAAGGGAAAAGCAAAGGGTTAAAGCTCTTATAAGAAAAGACTCTGAGCTTGATTGTGCTTTTCAATTAAAAGGTTTTATTATTTCATAAAGAAATTCAGTCATTCAATTAGTGAACTTTCATCATGTCTTTTGACAAATTACCTGAAAATTGTCTTTGGAAGATCTTTGACAATTTCGATGAATTAGAAGAGTTGATCCAATTGTCTAAAGGTAAAAGTAAAAGATTTTGAATTGTGATAGAAATTAACTTAATTCTTTTTGTTTCTAAAGTTTGTTCAAAGTGGTCCAATTTAATTTCCATTAGATTCTCAAAAGTTAAATATCTGCTCCACAGTAAGTAAATTTCCATTTAATCAAGTCTCTCATAGTTAACCAATTCTTTGGCTTCAATCAGGTGATGTTGTTCATTTTGATTATTCCAAAATATGGATAGAGAAAGAGCTAACATTCAAATATAATCTACGGAAACTGTTGCCAAATCTCAGGGTAAATATTGACTAGAATTTGATCATATGAAGTAAAAGATGGTTTATTCTTATTCTTTACTACTAATTTAGATTTTAAATGTCTCTTGTGGTGTTCCATATACATCAATGAATTTTAATGTATCCCCGCCCGAAGTCCGAGACCACTTTAAATTCCCACCTGAATATTTCCAGGATGTGGTCAACAATAATCCAAAGATAAAGGGAGTGCTTGGGATACGCGCTGGTCTCAATTTGGATCTAGAAAATATCGAGATGGTCGAAATGGATTATATGTTGGATTGTAAAAGAATCTTTCGACCTGATCAATTGAGACAAATTCGCTTTAAACGCGACTTCTTCTTTGAATCTCTGCCTAAATACATTGAATATTTTCCGAATTTGAAGCGACTCAACATAACGTTCAATGGTAAATTATTGATGCTCAATTAGTGATCTAAATTAATGAAAGAATTATTTTTAAAGGGAAAGAAGTTCTTTATAATGGTCCCAATCTATGCAATCTAAAGGTTCTTGAATTTGCTTCAGACCGATGGAATTTAAGTGTTTACGGATTTTATTTGATGAACTTTTGTCCATCTCTAGAAAGCGCTTTTATGAGCTGTTCGGATGGTCTCTATAGCATATCACCATCTGAACAAAATGTTAATCGCTATACTGATATCTCTCTAAAGAACTACAACCTAAGAGATTTGGTGATTAAAAAACATTACGTAAGTATCGAGATTCTCTTGGAATATGAATAATCTTCTCTCTGTTTTTTATTTCAAGGTAGGGAGTGAATTCGTGACAAATTACATAACATGGCCATACTTACGAAGACTGTTGTCCAAATATCCAAATATACAAAATCTTGCTATTAGAGGAGGTGACACTATTGAGGATAATCTTGTTGAAGAATTGGTGAAATTATTACCAATGGTAAAACTGTTGGACTTCAGAAGATCCAAAGGAGTGACTTCAAAATCAGCTGATTTCTTATCTAAATTTTGCCTTGAATCTAATAGATCAGTCAAAATCTATTATGATTGTGAAGAAGAACCAACTGATTGGCCTAAATTAAGCACTTCTGGTGATTCAATTGTCTATGGATTCGACTTCATGAAGCATTGTTTTTATAAATCTTTTCATTCTCTTCCGTGCTTAATTGATGAATAAATTACGAAAATTTCGAATCTCGTTAAGTCAATTGTATGTTTCACAGTGAAAAATTAAACTAGAACCTGTTGGCGTTTTGACAGAAATTCCTAAATCTAAAAATTTCTCAGTTAGAATTAGTGAAGTTGAAACTCTGACGGAGAAAATCAAAAATTAGATTATGTTACTTTTGTAACTCTGAATTAATTTTAAGTCTTCGTTTTTTATTATTAGCTTGATTGTTATTCTATTATTAAACGATTGACCAATAGTCTGTCTTTGGATGGTCCTCGATTTGAATATTAATTAAAAAATGGTAAACTTTTCATCTGATTGACTGAATATGTACTTTCCAAAGATGGACAAAAGTCCGTCACATGAATTGCGTTACAGGTAGGATGACATCCATCTACAAAAGACTCATAAATCTTCAGGTTAGATAAATTTGGACCATTATAACGAACTTGTTTCCCTAGAAAAATAGTTTTTAAGTTAATTTAGATCATCGATCCAACATCAACAATTTACCATAAAACTTAATTTTGATTCTGTTTAAATTCAGAAAGTACTCGACGAGTTCAGAAAGATCATTCAAATGTAAAGAGGAAGCATAGTAAATTTGGCTAAACTTTTTAGGATGAAAGAGTTTTTTTATAATCCAAAATATCAATTGAGATCATTTCGATATTTTTTAAATTGAGATTAATACCATGAGTTAGTCCAATCAGTCCTTTAATTTTCGGATTATTGTTAACCAAATTTTCATAATTTACAATTCTCCAATTCTTGTAATACGAAAAAATATCAAAAATCTGAAATCAATGGTTATTGTTAGTATATCGGTTAGGATAGTTAAAAAGGACTATCATGAATGATTTCAGAACCAAGTGACAATGACAGAGTTTACAACTCACGATAATTCAATATTTATGGTGATTTTTTGGAAGTCTTGGCCATTAGCAGTTAATCTTATTTCATCACAATAATTTAATCCATCCCAGTGCTTATCAAACTCAAATTTGATCGAGTAATTAGAATCTATTTTGATTGTGAAAAGGAACCGAATGACTGGCCTAAATACGATAACCCTCGAGAATCAATTGTCTACGGATTCGATTTTATGAAACATTGTTTGTATAAATCTTTTTTCACTCTTCCGTATCTAATGAATGATGATTATCGCCTTACAAGTCGCTTTCCCTGCACGATCTGCAATAGAAAATATTAAACTTTCAACATCTTGTCAGTCGCGTAAACATCGTATTTCTTTTCAGAGGAAATAAATTTATTACCTGATTAATCAGGCGAATTTCGAATTTTTAATAACACGACTTAAGTGAAGGTAAGAGAATTCGATCTTCCAAAGTTCAACTTCCTCAGATGTATAATGAGTACGAGTATAATAAGCTTAATTATTACGCCTGTTGATAACGTTCAGTCAATGTTAATGTTTATTTTAACATCGGCTAAAGGCAATGCATTATACACCAATATATGGTGGCCCCATCGGGCACTCAGCTAATCGCTCAGTTTTTACAATTTGAATTCTAGTAAATTTACAATTACATTCAAAAGCTTTAGTTTGTTTACAATATTTTCTTCATTCATTGAATCCAGTCCTTCAATCGTAAGCATTTTGTTGTCTTAGATTAGCTAATCGCTCTGTTTTGAACATTGAAAACATTTAAATTTGAATTTTTTGAATTAGAAATAGATATCAGTTGATTGAGACAAAGGTAATAATCAGGTCAAAAGTTAACTCATTCGGTTTGTCGTGAAAAGAAGGAGAAAATGAAATAAGAATTTCAATCTTTTCGAAGAATATGTCCGAGATAGAGCATAATTTAGAGTTAATAAAGAAGAAAAGAGAAATTAAGGTCGATGTGTAAAAATCGAATTACAATTCGCATAAATATAGTTGGTGTTTGAAGTATTGGTATCTTTAATTAAACCCTTTCTAAAGTCAGAGAGTACCAAGTTGCTTGTTTTCGAATGAATTTTAATAGCATAAACCATCCAATGAAATTAATTCATATCTATTCGTCAATTAGTTCTGGAAGATTATAAAACGTTTTATAAAAACAATGTTTCATGAAGTCGAATCCGCAGACAATTGATTCTCGAGGAGTGTCTAATTTGGGCCAGTCATCTGGTTCCTTTTCACAATCATAATAGATTTTGATGGATCGATTAGATTTGAGACAGAATTTAGATAAGAAATCAGCTGATTTAACAGTAACTCCATTAGATTTCCTAAAGTCCAACAGTTTTATCCTTGGCAATAACTCCAACAATTCCTCAACATGACTATCTTCAATAGTGTCACCACCTCTGACCGCGAGATGCTGTAAATTTGGATACTTGGACAACAGTGTTCGTAAGAATGGCCATGTAAGGTATTCATCAAATAGCTTAAGATGAAAAAAACATTAGAAAATATATTTCCGAATAGACTTGAATTCAATACTCACTGAGAACATAGTTGAAAATACCAAATCCCTTAGATTGTAGTTCTTTAGTGCCATGTTGGTAAATTCATCATCTAATTGACCATGAATGTGAGCACTTTCCAAAGATGGGCAAAAGTCCATCACATGAATTGTGTTACAGATACCTAAATACCCGGACGTTTCATACATCGTATCATCCCAAACCGAAGCCTCAAAGATTTTTAGATTGGATAAATTTGGACCATTATAACGAACTTTTCGACCTTCAAAAAGAATTTTTCAATTAATTTAGACCATTAATCCAACGTCAATATTTTACCTTGAAATGAAAGGTTGAGTCGCTTCAAATTCGGAAAGTATTTGACGAGTCGAGAAAGATTATTCATATGAAAATCTAGCATACAGTAAATTTGTTTCAGCTGACCAGGCCGAAATAATTTTTCAAAATCCAACAAATAATTCATTGAGACCATTTCGACATTTTCCAAATCGAGCTTGTAAACATCAGTTAGTCCAATCAGTCCTTTTATTTTTAGGTTATTGTCAAATGCTTTTCCATAATTTGCACTTTTCCATGAGCTATAAATATCAACAATCTGAAACCATTAAATAGAATAAAATAAATCAAACACTGAACGTGAACAATTTTCTACATGCGTCTTTCCACTTATCGCAACTTTTTTTTCGAAAGCCGCTATTCTTATTACAATAGTAATAGTTAATTAGGTAAAGAGTTAGCACTAAGTAGTTCTTCGTCAGAACGAACAAACTGATCTTGTGCTAAGGGCGAAAATCAATGTGCTTACCCTGAGATTTGGTAACAATTCTCGTACAAGTTGAATAGTTTCTGGACGCTCAATCCATACTCTGGAATAATCCAAATGTGGAATTTCCCTTGCTAGAAGTCGATAGAATCGGTTATAAATCTTTGATAAAATAATTACAATTGTACTTACTTATGTAAAGATATTTGACTTTTTTCAATCTTATATCAATCAAATTGGCAAATCATTTTGAACAAACTAAAGAAACAAAAAACCAATGGAAATTTAGTATTTATTATCAACAGTTGAACTTTTAAGCTTTTACCTTCAGACAATTGAATCAACTCTTCTAATTTGAAGAAGTTGTTGAAGATCAACCAGAGACAATCATCAGGTAAATCGTTTTTAGACATAATCGTAGACTACGATTCGTAGTTCACTTAAAAATTGAGTAAAAATCACCAAATTTCTGTCATGAAATTAAAAATTAAAAATTAATATGATTAGATAATTCCTATTGGGAATAAGCTGTTGGTCAAAAAAACCGTTAATTTGAATTTTATCACTCGGCTTGTGGCTCCTGAAGGGAAAGTGAAAGGGTTTAAATTAATCAACCGCTTCTTTTGAATAGTTTGATTGTAAAGGGATCTTTCGACCTGAGCAGTTGAGAAAAATTCGCTTTAGAGGTGAATCTTATCATTATGGAACAATTTTTATGTATTTATTGTTTTCAACATGAGCCTGTTGATAACTTTGAACATTTAAAAATTAAGAAGATCCGATAGATACTTTAATACAATTTACAATTTATTTCTACTTCGCCTTGTGGGTAAGGCATAAGATACAATTTTCAATTTTCAGCTGATTTTTTTCTCGGCTTGAGGTTTGGCTTGATTGTCTCAGGCCCTCCGGGCCTTTCTTTGGTCATGGTGACCCTTATTAGCAAAGACCTAACCTAACCTAATTTAATCAAACACAATTAACTAAACAATTAAGTCCATTTTCATACGTAGCTTGGACTTTAAGCCGAAAAAAACCGCTCAAAATGAAGATATCGAGCTGACGGACTTATCTAATGCCTTACCACCTTGTGATAGTGACGAGATAGACGATAATCAAGTGAAACGAATAGTTAAACAATGACTTATTAAGGAACAGTTTGCTTCCAGGGAATGTGACAGAGAAACAACAGTTCGATTGATTATAATTTCATACTCGACGATCAAAGTGTCGAAAAATTTTCTTCCCATATTTTGCGACTCATTACTTCGTGGAAACGACACATCATTCAAAAGAAGCGCTTGGTTTGTTTTAAACGCTTTCAGCTGTTGATTGTTTTGTCAATTTCAAAGCTTTTACCCAAACAATCAGACTAATTGAATTAGTTAATTTCCAATGAATTATTATCATGTTATTGAACGATTTACCGGATGATTGCCTTTGGTTGATCTTCGACAACTTCTCGGGTTTAGAAGATTTGATTAGATTGTCTCAAGGTAAGAGTATAAAAGTTTTAACTTTGATAGAAATTAATTTGATTCTTTTTGTTTCTGAAGTTTGTTCGAAATGGTCCAACTTAGTTTCAATAAGATTCAAAAGAGTCAAATATCTCGTCACCAGTAAGTAAATCTCCACATAATTAGTTCTGATTACATTTTAACATTATAATCGTTTTCAAGGTGAGCCTATTGATCACATCAACAATTCCAAAATATGGACGAGGGATCCAATAGATACTCTAAAACATCACAATTTACGAGAATTGTTACCAAATCTCAGGGTAAATATCAAATAAAAAATCTTTCATCCTTATTAATTATTCTAACTTTTTTTGGTGGTTTAAGATTGTCACTGTAGTTGATTTTCTCCCCAGGCCTCAATTGAAACCAAGACATTATAAAAAAGTGATCAACAATAATCCGAAGATTAAAGGTTTGATTGGATTGAGAAACAAGTGTGCAGTCGATTTGAAAAATATCGAAATGATCGCAATGGATCATATGGCGGATTACAGAAAAGTCTTTCAACCTGATCAGTTGAAACAAATTTACTTTGGGCTTCTTCATGTAAATAAACTTCCTGAATACGTTGAATACTTTCCGAATTTAAAGCGATTCCATGTTTTTCTCTATGGTAAATCATTCATGTCGCTTTAATATCTTTCAAGATTGTTAGATTAATCAAAGAATCATTTCTACAGGAAATGAGCGTTACAATGGTCCAAACTTATCAAAGCTGAAGATTCTTGAAGCTTATGTATCAGAACGGGTGGGACTGGGAACGAATTCAACGTGATAGATTATTGTCCATCTTTGGTAAGCGCTTTTATTTGTGGTTCTACATATGAGCGAAAAATTGACATTTCCATAAAGAACTACAATCTAAGAGATTTGGTGATTGAAATAGTAAGTATCAAATTTGAGTTTCTCTTTGACCTGAGTTGATTCTTACAACATACACATGTATATCTATTTTCTTCATCTAAAGCTTATGATAGATTACATGAAATGGTCATCTATCCGAAAACTGTTGATTAAATTTCCAAATTTACTCCATCTCGCGATTAGAGGATCTGATTGGGTTGAGGATTGTCATGTGGAAGAATTGGTTCAACTGTTGCCACAGATAAAACTATTGGACTTTAGAGAATCTGATGGAGTTACTGTTAAATCAGCTGATTTTCTGTCAAAATTCTGTCTCAAATCTAATCGATCAATCAAAATCTATTATGATTGTGAAAAGGAACCAACTGACTGGCCTAAATTGGACACTCCTCGAGAATCAATTGTCTGCGGATTCGACTTCATGAAACATTGTTTTTATAAGAATTTTTCCCATCTTCCTTTGCTAATTGATGAATAAACCACCAAATTTTAAATCTCATGTTGATGTAATAAATTAAAGATTTTTGCTATAAAAAATAGCCATTCAATCAGTGAACTTTCATCATGTCTTTTGACAAATTACCTGAAAATTGTCTTTGGAAGATCTTTGACAATTTCGATGAATTAGAAGAGTTGATCCAATTGTCTAAAGGTAAAAGTAAAAGATTTTGAATTGTGATAGAAATTAACTTGATTCTTTCTGTTTCTGAAGTTTGTTCGAAATGGTACAATTTAATTTCCATAAGATTCTCAAAAGTTAAATATCTGCTCCACAGTAAGTAAATTTCCATTTAATCAAGTCTCTCATAGTTAACCAATTCTTTGGCTTCAATCAGGGACTGTTGCTCATTTTGATTATTCCAAAATATGGATAGAAAAATAGAAAACATTCAAATATAATCTACGGAAACTGTTGCCAAATCTCAGGGTAAATATTGACTAGAAATTGATCTTGATTCTTATATTACAAATATAGATTTTATTAATCTCTCGTGTTCGTATGGTTACATCAGCAAATTACTATGTATCCTCACTTGAATACCGAATGCACTTTTCCTTCCCGCCTGCATATTTCCAGAATGTGGTTAACAATAGTCCCAAAATAAAGGGATTGCTTGGGATACGCGGTGATCTCAATTTGGATCTAGAAAATATCGAGATGGTCGAAATGGATTATATGTTTTATTGTAAAGATATCTTTCGACCTGATCAGGTGAAACGAATTTTATCTGCTGTAGTTTCTAGTTTTAGTGAATATTTTTGTGATCTTCCGAATCTGCTAGATGAATAAAATTGCGAAATCATACATATTGTACCATTTTAAACAATTCGACTGGACGAAAAACAATTGTCTTACGAATCATGCATTCAGAAGAAGCGCTTATTTAGAATCAAACTAAGTACAGTTAACTAATCAGCTGACTTTAATCAGATGATTTTAAAATGAATTTCAAAGTTTAAAATACATGAAAAACTAATCATTATTTTCTCATTACCTTTGCTGTGAATTCTAATCATGCCGATTAACAATTTACCTGATGAATGTCTCTGGATGATATTAAACTATTTCGACGAGCTTGGACAGTTGATTCAATTATCGGAAGGTAAATAGTATTGGAGTTTTAATTGTTGCAAAAAGTAACTAAAACTTTATTTCTTTTCGATTCTATAGTTTGTTTAAAATGGTACACGTTAATTTCTGTAAGATTGAAAAAAGTTAAATATATTGTTAACAGTAAGTAAATTTCCATTTAACCATCAATCAGTTTTGATTCATTTTTCTAATTCTATTATTTTCGAGATGGAACTGGTAAGCGAATTGATCATCGCAAAATTTGGATCGAAAATCCAGTAGTTACTTTTAAACGTCACAATTGGTGGAAATTGTTACCAAATCTCAGGGTAATTTAATAGAAAATTGATATTATTACTTGACGATTAATCGAACTCTTTGTTATCGTTTCAGATCATCACTGTCGGAGGTGTCGTCAGGGATTCGCTCACAAGATATTGTACAAAATTGATTAAAAACAATCGAAAAATAAAAGGATTGATTGGACTAGACTATCGGTGTAAACTAAATTTGAAAAATATCGAAATGATTGCAATGACCTATCCGATAAACGATATAAAAGTCTTTCAATCCTCTAAGATAAAACAGATTCGCTACAATAACTTTGAGATCGATCTTCTTTATAAATATGTTGAATACTTTCCAAACTTGAAGCGACTCAATATTTCGTTTGTTGGTAAGTTATTGAGATTGAATTAATGATCTAAATTAATAGAAAATCATTTTAAAGGAGATTATGGTAATTATTTTGGTCCAGAATTGATCAATCTAAAGATTTTGGAGTCTAATTCAATCAGGCAGAAAGCAAATGTTAGCGGTTTTCATCTACTGAACTTTTGTCCATCTTTGAAACGCTTTCATCAAAAGTACGAAATCACATGGCAATATTGAACCGTCCGAAAAGAACTGCAATCTAAGAGATTTGGTTATCGAATTGGTAAGTATCAAGTGAGAGATTCGCTTTGAATTAAGATTGACTCGAACTCTTCTTTTTCATTTGTAGACAGAGATAATATATGAAACTTGGCCATTCTTGCGAAAATTTTTGTCTAAATTTCCAAACCTACAAAATCTTGCGATCAGAGGGGACTGCGAAACAAACGATAGCCATGTGAAAGAATTGGTTAAGTTATTACCAAAGGTAGAACTATTTGACTTCAGGAAATGTGAGAATGTCACTCAAAGATCAGCTGATTTCTTGTCTGAATATTGTCGCGAATCTAATCGATCAATTAAAATCTATTATGATTGTGGCAAGGAACCAACTGACTGGCCTAAATTGGAGACTCCTCGAGAATCAATTGTCTACGGATTCGATTTCATGAAACATTGTTTTTATAAGAGTTTTTCTACTCTTCCAGATATAATTGATGAATAAAATTATCAAAACCTCAATATTTCTAATAAAAATCCAAACTTATATTACCTAATGAATTGATAAAATTATTATAAGAACAATTCGATTTAATGACGGAAAACAAATACAATTATCTCTCTTTCTATTCGAAATAAACGTTCGTTTTTAATCAAACGATTCTATTTTATTCTATTTTATCGATAACAATCAAATTCTCCTACAATTCCATGAATGCGTTCAAATTTCAAATTAGTAAACTTTCTTGTCTTTTGATAAATTACCTGTTATTGTTATTGTTATAACATCTCAAAATTTGTTCAAAATGGTTCAATTTAATGAAAATTATCAACGATTATTTTAAGATGAAAGGATTAGTTATAATGTCAGAACCAGATGAAAACAATTATAACTATGAACATATCGAAATGATTGCAAGTGAATTCAAGTTGATCATCCGTATTTATCGTTATAAGACTTGAAGAATAAACCTTGTGAAATTATAAAAAGATAATAATTGAATGTAATGATTGTTTTTTGAGAGTTTTTTCGATCTTCCGGACCTAATTGATTCAATCGAATTAATAACAATTAAAGTTGATCAATGAAACCAATCAAAAGATCTTAATCCTGAACACTTAAAATTAGAAAATGTAAGTTATCGTTGTGCTTCTGAATTAATTCAAGACTTCGTTTTTTATTATTGCTCGGATTGTTTTGCTTTCATTGATGTTTTACAGAAAGAATCTCGTTGGATGCTTTTGAACTTTTAAATAAGAATTTAACAAACATTTGCTGTATTATAAAAGACGATACAATAATTAAATCACATTGATATTCACATGATACTAAATTGTAATCATCATTGTAAAATGAGTTTTTTGTTTTAGGGTTCATTCATCAATCAGATCCGGAAGAGTGGAAAAAGATTTATAAAAACAATGTTTCATGAAATCGAATCCGTAGAAAATTTGATCATTAGGAGTGTTTAATTTAGGCCAGTCAGTTGGTTCCCTTTCACAATTAAAATAGATTTTGATTAATCGATTAGATTCAAGGTAAAATTTAGATAAAAAATCAGCTGATTTTTGAGTAACTTTTTGGGATCTTCTGAAGTCCAACAGTTTTATCTTTGGCAATAACTTTACCAATTCTTCAACAAGATTATCCTCAATAGTGTCACCTCCTCTAATCGCAAGATTTTGTAAATTTGGATATTTGGACAACAGTCTTCGTAAGAATGCCCATGTTATGGATTCTTTAAATAGCTTAAGATGAAATAATAGAGATATTAGATGTTAATAGAATAAATTTGAATTCGATACTCACTATTACAATAACTAAATCCCTTAGATTGTAGTTCTTTTGTGTCATATTGATAAATTCATCATCTGATTGTCCGTGAATGTAAGCACTTTCCAAAGAAGGACAAAAGTCGATCACATGAATTGCGTTACAGATACTTGACCATCCGTCTACAGAAGACTCAAAGATCTTCAGATTAGATAAATTTGGACCATTATAACGAACATGTTTCCCTTGAAAAATTATTTCTCAGTTAATTTAGATCATTAATCGAACAGCAATAATTTACCTTGCAATGTAATGTTGAGTCGCTTTAGATTCGGAAAGTATTGGACGAGTTCAGAAAGTTCTTTCAAATTAAAAACTCCATTATAACGAATTTGTTGTAACTGATTAGGCCGAAAGAGTTTTTTATACTCGAATGTATAATAAAATTGAGTATTCATTGAGACCATTCTGATAACTTTCAAATCGATATTATATTTAAAGACTAGTCCAACCAGTCCGATTAGTCCTTTTACTTTCGGATTATTATTAACAATTTGTTTATAATTTGATGATCTCCTTGGTCCACCATTAATGTAAGGAAAGATATCAAGAATCTTAAACCATTAAAGTAAATTAATTACTAGTAAACGTTAACAATTTCATATTTACCCTGAGATTTGGTAACAATCTTCGTAAATTATAACTTTCAATAGTTTCTGGGTTCTCCATCCATACTTTGGAATAGTCCGAATGTGAAACTGTTTCTTCTGGAAGTCGACAGAATTGGTTGACAAATTACTGATACAATAATTAGAAAGAACAAGAATTGTACTTACTGTTGAGAAGATATTTAACTTTTTTCAATCTTATATCAATCAAATTGGACCATTTTGAACAAACTAAAGAAACAAAAACAAATTAAATTTAGTATTGATTGTCCACAGTTGGACTTATAAGCTTTTACCTTTAGACAATTGAATCAACTCTTCTAATTCGAAGAAGTTGTCGAAGATCAACCAGAGACATTCATCAGGCAAATCGTTCAATAACATATTTATAATTCACTGAACAATTAAATAAAAAATCGCCAATGAATTAAAAATTCATCTGATTAACTAACCGTTAATTTGAATTTTATCACTGCGGTTTGTGGCTCCTGAAGGGAAAGTGAAAGTTGTTTAATTAAATCAACCGCTTCTTTTCTTTAGTTTGATTGTTTCAAAAAACTGTTCAAAATCAATATTTAATGTTAGCCTATGCTAGAAAGGACAATCATGAAAATTTCAGAACCAAATGGAAACGAAAGAGTATAAAGTTTCAAAAACTTCGTTATTTCACTCTCAGTGTGTTGAGAAGGGTCTTGACAAATGATATTCGGATTTCTGAAGCGATAAAAATTGATAGTTTTATCGGGAAAGTCTTAGAAAGTTACTAAGATAATTATGGCCGTACAACCTTTTTCTCATAAGTTTATGACTCAAAAAAAGGTAACTCAGTATTTTTTAGGACGTCTCAATATCTTCCGTCCGGCTAATCAGGAATAAAATTAGATAATATTTTTGAGATGTTCGTGCAAAACTCGATGAACCAAAAAAAGTGCGGTTCTTAACTAAAAAGGATAAAAAAGTGAAAAAAAGTTAGAGGCCCTCCTTAATCCTGGTGCTTATCAAACTCGATTTGATCAATCAATTAAAATCTATTATGATTGTGAAAAAGAGCCAAATGACTGGCCTAAATTAGACACTCCTCAAGAATCAATTGTCTACGGATTCGATTTCATATAACATTATTTCTATAAATCTTATTCCACTCTTCCGGAATCATTGATGATTATCACCTTATAAATCGCTTCCCCTGTAATGATAAATAAATTTTTTGACTTTTTGTACATTAAGTTTGTTTTCTTGTCTTGAATAAAGCGCCTCACCTGAGAAAGAAACTTTCTTACCGCCTTGTGTTACAAAACTTTGTATCAATGAAACTCATTCATTGAATGAATGCCCTGGAGCAAAACGATAAAATCTCAGCTGTTAAATGAATGAATAAAAAGCTAAATATTTTTTGCAACAGAAAATCGTAAGATTTTTTGAGTTAGTTATTTTCTAATTACCTTACCTTCTTGAGTGAATTACAATAATGTTATTAAATGATTTACCTGATGTATGTCTTTGGATGATCTTCGCCAACATTTATGAATTAGAAGAGTTGATCCAATTGTCTAAAGGTAAAAGTATAAGAGTTTCAATTGTGATAGAAAACTAACACAAATTCTGATTCTTTTCATTTCTAAAGTTTGTTCGAAATGGGCCAATTTAATTTCTGAAAGATTCAAAAGAGTTAAATATCTTGTTAACTGTAAGTAAATTTCCATCTAATCGCTAATTACTTTTGATACATTTTATTAATTTTATCAAGATATTGGCGATCTTGACGTGGCCACAATATGTATGAATTACCCAATAGAAACACTTAAACATCACAATTTACGAGAATTGTTGCCAAATCTCAGGGTAATTATCAAATTGATAATTTTTCTTGACAATTAATTGTAATACTTTTTGATATAATGTTTAGATTGTCTCTGTTTATAACGATTTCTACTTGGATGAATTGAAAGTTTCAAAGTTTAGAAAAGTGTTTAACAATAATCCCAAAATTAAAGGAGTGATTGGAATAAATAAACTTCGCAAACTGGATTTGAGAAATATCGAAATGATCGCAATGGACAATATGGTTAATTACTTGGAACTTTTTCGACCTGATCAGTTGAAACAATCAAAATTTGAAGATTTCGATCTCGCATATCTTGCAGAGTACGCTGAATACTTTCCAAATTTAAAGCGACTCCATATCAGTGGATTCATTGGTAAATTATTTTCACTGGATTGATGTTCTAGATTAATGAGAAAATCATTTTTACAGAGAAGCAAATTTTCAATAACATTGGCTCGAAATTGTCTAACCTGAAAATTCTGGAATATTTTCCAATCGGATCGGATGAAAAATTGGACGAATTTCATTTGATAGATTTTTGTCCGGCTTTGGAAAGTGCTTTCATTCGCGGCGCTTCTGATGGTCAATATATTGATGCGTCTATAAAGAACTACATGCTAAGAGATTTGGTGATTGAAATAGTGAGTATCGAATAAGTTTCCTCAAGAATTAGGATTTACTCTTTATCTTTTTCATCTTAAGCCATGGGTGGAAATAGATCTGATGGCTTGGTCATCCATGCGAATTCTGCTGTCCAAATTTCCAAATTTACATAACCTTGCGATTAGAGGAAGTGGTGAAAAGTTTGAGGATAACCATATAAAAGAACTGGTTGAATTATTACCAGAAATAAAACTATTGGACTTCAGGGAATCTAAAAAATTTACTGAAAATTCAGCTGATTTCTTGTCTGAATATTGTCGCGAATCTAATCGACCAGTTAAAATCTATTATGATTGTGAAAATGAACCGAGTGAATGGCCTAAATTAAGCACTGCTGGCGATTCAGTTGTCTACGGATTCGATTTCATGAAGCATCATTTTTATAAGCATTTTCGCACTCTTCCGGACCTAATTGATGAATAAAATTAACCCGATCCATGAAAGATTTTGAGAAAAATTGTTTCAAGAGTTTTTTTACTCTTCCGGATCTAATTGATGAATAGTATTCTCAAAATCTCAATATTTCTAATAAAAATTCCAATTTGCATTTCCAATCTAATGAAGTTCAATTTAATGAAAGTTATCAACGATAATCTCAAGATGAAAGGATTAGTTATAATATCAGAACCCGATGAAAACAATTATAACTATGAACATATCGAAATGATTGCAACTCAGTTCAAGTTGATAATGGTATTTATCGTTATAAAACTTAAAACGAAACCGAAAACGAAAACGAAAAATAAACCTTGTGAAATTATAAAAGTTCAAGTTGATCATCCGTCAATTAATATACATGTATATGTAAATTCTAATATTTGTTTCTTAAAGATTTTCCTGATCTGCCGGAGTTAATTGACGAATAGATTATTTCAAAGGCGATTCCCAATTAACGAATTGGTTTTTGCGGTTTTTTTCGAAATTGAACTGTTCGCAAACCATTAGATAAAATTCTAAGAAAATATAGCCCATGACAAATGAAGAGTTAATGGTTGGACGTGGACCTGACTTATGAGGTCCAATAAAGGGTTAGGACTGTATACTAACTCTCAGCTATCGAATAAGGTTTACAAAAAATTCTTTAATTAGTTTATTACGATTGAAATTAGATTAAGTAATTAAATACCTACCAAATAATCTTTCAACTTTTTCACCTCAACCTTTTCTTTAGAAAGCTCATAACTTTTCAACGAATGATCGAAAAAATATAATTTTTATATCATTGAAAAAGAAAAAAATGCTATTCGTTTCGATAAATCAAATATTAATTGTGTGCGGAATAATTACGATAATCTGATTGAAATAGATCATTTTCTCAGATACTCGAAAAAACCAGTTTCCTCAGGTTAACAGGTATAGGTAAATAACATAGAATTGGGTCTAAATTTTTTATCATCATGTTTTCATCTTAAACTTCAAACTTAATAACTTTTTTGTTTTTCAATCCTTAACTATAAAATTTTCAAGATATTTCGTTAAATGTTTGAATTACATTTAATTGAAAAAAACTTATTATTATAGTTATTTACTGTGGTTGTTTTCAGTGTTTTTGTCTTTTGTATTAACACCGGAGCAGAAGTTGGAACTGAAACTGGAATTTGGATTGGTGTTTTCATTGACTTGGTCTGAAGCTTCAACTGTCATTGATTGGGTCGGTACTGCTGGTTGATCAATCATTTGTAGTTGAACGTTCCTAGAAAACGATTGATGAGATTGTTGTTCAGATATCGTTCTATGAGACGAGACTATGACTAATGACAAAATAAACTTTATTTTGATTTTCATCATTAAAGTTTACTCAAGTCTACTATTACAGCATTTCTCGGAATTGAAAAAATTCTGCCATCTATCGGGTTGACTAATCCAAATGGGAACTCGACTAAACTTCTTGGTAACTGGGCGAAAGTTACTGGGAAATGCTGTAATATTTATTGAGGTCACTTTTATTCAATTCGAAAAGTTTTTCAACAATCAAACTATCCAAAAGAAGCGCTTTGACTCTCAGCTTCAACTGTGAATGGCTGCGACTAAGACAAAAAGCCGAAAACTTGTTGAACAAAAATTGTCGATTGTTAATTGTTTCTGTTTAATAAATTTTTTCTGGAAGTAACTTTCTGTCTACAGTAGTTGAGTTGATATCACTCAAGTTGATATTTCTTTAATAGTGTGAAGTTTTGTTCACTCATATCATTGATTTCGAACTGTTTTTTTTGAAACAATCAAACTGTTCAAAAGAAGCGGTTGGTTTAATCAAAACCCTTTCACTTTCCCTTCAGGAGCCACAAGCAAAGTGAAGCGAAAAAAGTTGGCGATTATTCCCAATCAGGTGAATTTCAAATTCTCAATTCTAACACAAGAAGTTTGAAATTTTATTTTAACTGTTAAGTGAATTATAGTTATGCTATTAAACGATTTGCCTGATGATTGTCTCTGGTTGATCTTCGACAACTTCTTCAAATTAGAAGAGTTGATTCAATTGTCTGAAGGTAAAACTTTGCAAGTTCAACTGTTGATAATCAATACTAAATTTCAGTTGTTTTTTGTTTCTTTAGTTTGTTCAAAATGGTCCAATTTGATTGATTTAAGATTCAAAAAAGTTAAATATCTTTTCAACAGTAAGTAAAATTCTAATTTTTGTAAAAATTATTTTCTAACCGATTCTATCAACTTCAAGAATCAAGATTAGTTCCACATTTGGATTATTCCAAAGTATGGATGGAACAGTTGAAAACTATTCGACGATATAATTTACGGGAATTGTTACCAAATCTCAGGGTAAATGTTTAACAGAAATTGCTCACATCAACTGGAATTTGATTAATTTTTATTCTATTCAATTGTTTCAGATTTTTGATATCTCTTATCACTATTACGGCCAAACTTATAAAATGCATTATTTTGAGAAAGTGATTAACAATCCGAAAATAAAAGGAATAGTTGGACTAAACACTTTTTATGATTACAATTTAAAAAATATCGAAATGGTGTCAATAGATTTTTTACGTGCCCCGTATAAAAAACGCTTTCGACGTGATCAGTTGAAACAAATTCGTTATAAGGACTATTTTTATTTGCATAATCTTTTTGAGCTCGTCGAATACTTTCCTAATTTGAAACGACTCAATATTTGGTTTTCAGGTAAATTATTAGTGTTTAATGTGATTAATGATCTTAATTAATTGAAGAATTATTTTCAAAGGTGAACAAGTTCGTTACAATGGTCCAAATTTACCCAATTTAAAGATCTTTGAGTCTGCAATAAGCGGAAAGAGTGATAACTGTAACGCATTTCATGTGATGGACTTTTGTCCATCTTTGGAAAGTGCTTACATTTATAACCAATCAGATGATAAATTTACCAACATGGCACAAAAGAACTACAATCTAAGGGATTTTGTAATTGGAATAGTGAGTATATAGAATCAGAATCTATTCTGAAATTAATTTTCAACTATATTTTTTGCATCTCAAGCCACTTGGAATACACCTAACATGGTCATTCTTACGAGGACTGTTGTCCAAGTATCCAAATTTACAAAATCTTGCGGTCAGAGGAGGTGATGCTATTAAGGATAGTCGTGTTGAAGAATTGGTCAAGTTATTGCCGGAGATAAAACTGTTGGACTTCAGAAGATCCAAAGGAGTGACTTCAAAATCAGCTGATTTCTTATCTAAATTCTGTCGCAAATCTTATCGATCAATCAAAATCTATTATGATTGTGAAAAGGAACCAATTGATTGGCCTAAATTAGACACTCCTGAAGAATTAATTGTCTATGGATTCGATTTCATGAAACATTGTTTTTACAAGAATTTTCATCGTCTTCCGGATCTAATTGATGAATAAACTCTAACGCTTTTAATTCATTTTGCATTAAAATGAGCTAAATGAATATTATAAATTTTTTTAATGTAAGTTTAAAATTCGGTAAGATGAGCTTTAGTGGTTTGAGGTAGAACGAAGTTTTTTTAACCAGTAAAGAGTTAAGGATCGTATACTAAGTGTTTGAACTAAATCTTACAATTGAGGCTCAAGTCAAGCTCATTTTTTCAACGAATTTTTATCGTTTACGATGGAAAAAATTCCTTGTGTTTTGTAACAAATGATTAGCGACCGAAAGTAAAATCGTTCAAAATGATGGTTATTATGAAAAAACGAGCAGTTGATAAACTGAAATACTCTCATTATCGGACTGTAGCTTTAATGACAATTTATTTGATTGGAACATCCGAGACAAAATTCATGAAAGAATATTAATATTATTCAATAAAGTAGAATGTAGGTGATTTCATTCATCAATTAGAATCGGAAGATCACAAAACATTTTATAAAAACAATGCTTCATGAAATCGAATCCATAGACGATTGAATCATCAGTTCCAAGCATATTGGGCCAGTCAATAGGTTCCTTTTCACAATCATAATAGATTTTGATTGATCGACTGGATTTAGCACAATATTCCGACAAGAAATCAGCTGATTTTTGAGTGACATATTCTGATCCTCTGAGGTCCAACAGTTTTACTTCTGGCAAAATCTCCACCAATTCTTCAACATGACAATCCTCAATCTCATCGCTCATTCTGATCGCAAGATTATGTAGATTTGGATATTTGGACAACAGCTCTCGCAGGAATGACCAAGTTATTTCTTCTTGAATTGACTTGAAAAGAACAGAAAATTACTAATTATTTAAGGCGAATCTTTAATTTGATACTCACCATTTCGATAACCAAATCTCTTAGATTGTAGTTCTTTATGGTCAAATCAATAAAATGGTCGTTTGACGAACTATTGATGAAAGCGCTTTCCAAAGATGGACAAGAGTCCATCAAATGAAAAGCGCTCCAAGCTTCATGCGCTTCGAATGTATGTGATTCAAGAATCTTGAGATTGGACAATTCTGGGCCATTGTATCGAGTTTCTAGTTCTGCAAAAATTATTATCATTCTTTCATTAATCCAGAACATTAATCAAATTTCAATAGTTTACCATCAAACATCGTGAGGTTGAGTCGCTTTAAATTTGGAAAGTATGCAACGTATTGAGGAAGATCACGCAAATTAAGCTCATGAAAGTAAATTTGTTTCAGTTGATCAGGTCGAAAGACTTTTCTAAAATCAAACTCATCCATTTCAACCATCTCGATATTTTCCAAGTTGAGATTATGATAATTAATGCAACTCAGTCCAATCAGTCCTTTTAGTTGCTTATTATTATTTATCACTTTACTGAAATCTTTGAGTTTTTTTCCACACCATAGAAATGATCAGAGATGTCGAGAATCTAATCGATACCGAAAACACGAATAAATATCAAATAGACAACTGAAATTTAATATTTACCCTGAGGTTTGGTAACAATTCTCGTAAATTATGGTCCTTGATCGTCTCTGGATCTCTTATCCATAACTTGGTATGATCAATATGATCGATAGTGTTTTCTTCAGGTCCATGGACTTGAAAAGATTGATCAAACCAAATTAACAATTACACGTAGAGGGAAATTTACTTACCGTTAAATAGATATTTAATTCTTGAAAATCTTACGGAAATTAGGTTGGACCATCTAGAACAAACTTTAAATCAAATAGAATTAAAATTTTGGTTAATTGATACACTGAAAAATTTAAACTTTTACCTTTAGACAATTTAATTAACTCTTCGAGATTAAAGAAGCTGCCGAAGATCATCCAGAGACATTCATTAGGTAAATTGTTTATGGACATAATCACAATTAACTGAACTGATGAAATTAAACGAATTGTTTTGTAACAATTTAATAGACTTAATAGATTTAATAAACAATTAACAATCGACAATTTTTGTTCAACAAGTTCTCAGCTTCTAGTCTGAGGCGCAGCCGTTTACAGCTGGAAGGCTGAGAGTCAAAGCGCTTCTTTTGAATAGTTTAGTTGTTAGAGATTCTTAAATTGAATAAAAGTGACAAAATAATCGACATTCGAATAGAAATCATTTTGAGCAACAGTCACAATCTCATCTCATAGATTTTTCATGTTAGTAGATAATTAATTTATTTAAATATTCTCAATGATTAACGATCATCAAGAAAAGAACGAAATATTGTCACAGTTATCAATTTATTTGAGCCATGTTACAACTATTCTTCCAATTATGATTGTTAACTCATATGAATTTTGATTAATGGTTGGAGGTGGACGCAAGTTATGAGAATCAATAAGGAGTAGAATAAAAGCAGCCCTCTTTGGCCCACATGCATTTCTGGCCCAATAGGCATTTCTAACCCACCGAAGTGGACCGGAGAGGGCTGCTTTTATTGTACTATAAGGGGTTAGGACTTTATTCTAAGTGACCGAACTAAACCTAACCGAAATGATCTACTCCATTTTATTATCTATTCAATCATATTCTGTGTTTTTTATATTTGTTATTCTCTTCTTTATTTCTATGCCCATTGCCATTATTTTAGGACAATTAGCTCTGAGCAATTACTTCACAATTTTGATAATGAAGAGTCGCATGGATGTTAGGGACAGAACAACTCACTTGCTCCTTGGAACTGTCACGAATAATGTCAGATGATGTGAAAATGTGCCATTTTTCATAATCAGAAAAAAGCTCTTGTTCTCAGTAATTAATCAGCTGTTTTTCGACTGAATTTCTCATTTCAAATAAGAGATGTGCGATATTTGAAAAAAATATCATCGAATGGTATCGATACTCAGATTTCAAATATCGATCTTAACAATATTTAGTGAAAGAGAAAAAGACAGAGAAAAAAGTAAGAGAAAGAGAAAAGTTTTAAAAAATTGGTAAAAAAACCTTAAAAAATCTCATATGGTGAAAAGAAAGAGTAAAAAAAGATACTTATTAATCGATATTCTTTTTATTATATCGATAAAAATCGACACCAAAATAACGATATCGATAATATCGCCCATCTCTATTTCAAATGGTATTTGTGGCACAAACTTCGTGCTTCTTCATTTCTTCAAGTTTTTAAATGACTAAAAAGTAAATTACCCTCATGTCATTAAACGATTTACCTGATAATTGTCTTTGGAAAATCTTAGAAAATTTCCATGGAATTAAACAATTGATTCGATTGTATAAAGGTAAGGTTAAGATTCCGTTTAAATGATGAAACTCTAATGCTTATTTACTTTCACTTGGTTCTAAAGTTTGTTCGAGATGGTCCGATTTGATTGCGCCGAAATTAAATCAAGTAAAATATCTCCAAGTGATGAAGTGTAAGTTAATTCCTACTTAACCCATTAGCGGTTTTAATTAATTTATTTCCAATTTTTAATTCGAAGATAAAAAACGTGATTATGTCGATAAGAACATTTCCTGGATGAAATATGAAACAGATTGGAGAAATTACAATTTAATAGAATTGTTTCCAAATCTAAAGGTAATCACCGAACTTTTTAGATCAAAAGAACGTTGCTTTCTAATTACATTGTTATTTTTTAATTTTATGATAGATTATAGAAGTTTTATCGTATAGTCATTTTCGAGTTGTTGATTTACCAAGAATTCTCAAAAATAATCCACAAATAAAGGGAGTAATTGGCAATAAAGAGCTGAGTAGAGTTGGTTACTTGGAAAATATCGAAATGTTCGCTGCAAGGTTTCGGATTAAATTCAATTATAAAAAAGTTTTTCGACCTAATCAGTTGAAACAAGTGCGCTGCTACTATTTTCTTATGGACGATCTTCCTTCATTCATTGAATATTTTCCTAATTTGAAGCGACTCAACTTGCAACTCTATAACTATGAAGGTGAGATACAACTTGAGAATTGATCTTCCGATTGTTTCATATGATCAATATCTTTTCAGGGTATTACTATGGGAAGGACGTTTTTTACAATGGTCCGAATTTGTCTTCGTTAAAGATTCTTGAACTTCGCACAAACGATTTGGTTGAAAAGTGCACCGTATTTCATTTCATGGATTTTTGTCCATCTTTGGAAAGCGCTTTCATCCATTGTTGGACATTAAATGTTTGTGTAATAGATGAATCGATAAAGAATTACAACCTAAGAGATTTGGTTATCGAACCGGTGAGTCAATGGGTGAGAAATTCTTATTAGATTATTAATAATTTTTTCCTTTATTCTTTTGATTAAGTCTGGTCGTTTTTCGTGGCCATCACTTCGAAGACTTTTGTCCAAATTTCCTAATTTACATCATCTTGGGATCAGATTTATGATTGAGATTGATGATAATAACTTAGAGGAATTGATAAAGTTATTACCTGAGTTGAAGATATTGGACTTGAGAGGATGTAAGAAAGTGACGCATAAATCAGCTGATTTTCTGTCCAAATATTGTGTCAAAGAGAAGAAATCAATTAGAATCTATTACGATTGTGAAAATGAGCCCGCCGAATGGCCTAAGTTGCACACTCCTCGAGAATCAATTGTCTTCGGATTCGACTTCATGAAACATTGTTTTTATAAATCCTTTTCTACTCTTCCAATTCTCATTGATGAATAAAATCGAAACTTTTATAACCCAAAGTTTAATATCACTAATGGTTGCAACCATAAGTGATATTGTGATTATCTGATTATTTAACAAGAATTGTCAACAATATTCCGAGAATAAAGAATTGATTGGATTTCTTGAATGTCTTAGAGAAAATTATAACAAGGAAATATCAAAATGTGCGCTTTATAGTTATTCTCTTCTCTAGTTCTCTCAGTTACTTCACAACTTAGAATCTAAGTCTTAGATGATGAAGAGTTGCATGGGTTTTATGGACAAAACAACTCACTTGCTCGTTGAAAATTCCGAGAATAATACTCAGATGCGTTTAAAATGCCCCTTTTGTCATATTCAAAAAGAAGCGCTTGTTCTTAGTAATTAATCAGCTGTTTCTCCGAGAAAATTTCTCATTTCAAATGAAATTTTTGCTTCTTCATTTCTTCAAGTTTTTAAATGACTAAAAAGTAAATTATCATCATGTCATTAAACGATTTACCTGATAATTGTCTTTGGAAAATCTTTGAAAATATCCATGGAGTTAAACAATTGATTTGTTTGTCTAGAGGTAAGATTGAGATTCAGTTTAGATGATGAAATTCTAATGCTTTTTTACTTTCACTTGGTTCTAAAGTTTGTTCGAGATGGTCCGATTTAATTACGCCGAGATTTAAGAGAGTGAAATATCTCCAAGTAATGACGAGTAAGTTTCTACCTAATCCATCAGCGATTAATAATTAATTTATTTCCAATTTTTTAATTGAAAGATAAAAAACGTGATTATATCGACAAGAACATTTCCTGGATGAATTTTAAAACAGATTGGAGAGGTTACAATTTAATGGAAAAGTTTCCAAATCTAAAGGTAATTAACAAACTTTTTAGATCAAAAGAACGTTGCTTTCTAATTACATTTTATTTTTTAATTTAATGATAGATTATAGAAGTTTCGACTTATAATCATTATCGCTTTGGTGATTTACCAAGAATTCTCAAAAATAATCCACAAATAAAGGGAATAATTGGCACTAAAGAGCTGAGTGAAGTTGGCTACTTGGAAAATATCGAAATGTGCTCTGCAGAGTTTGATTTCGATTATAAACAAGTTTTTCGACCTGATCAGTTGAAACAAATTCGGTGCTACTATTTTGACATGAATGATCTTCCTTGTTTTATTAAATATTTTCCAAGTTTGAAGCGACTCAACATAGAACTCGATGAAGGTGAGATTCAACTTGTATTAGTCTTACGACTGTGTTAATGGTTTATATCGTCTTACGATTTTTAATAGCGGACGAAGTTTTTTACAATGGTCCAAATTTATCTTCGTTAAAGATTCTTGAACTTGGTACAAACGATTTCGTCAAACAATTCACCGGATTTCATTTCATGGATTTTTGTCCATCTTTGGAAAGCGCTTTTATTCATTATTACGCAGAGGATCTTCATGTATTAGATGAATCAATAAAGAATTTTAATTTAAGAGATTTGGTTATCGTTAATGTAAGTCAATTGGTGAAAAGTTCTTATTAGATTATTAATAATTTTTTCCTTTATTCTTTTGAATCAGTGTGGTTTTTTTTCGTGGCCATCACTTCGAAGGCTGTTGTCCAAATTTCCCAATTTACATCATCTTGGGATCAGATATGTTGATGAGATTAATGATTATAATTTAGAGGAATTGATAAAAATACTACCTGAGTTGAAGTTATTGGACTTGAGGAGTTTTAAGAAAATCACATACGAATCAGCTGATTTGCTGTCCAAATATTGTGTTGAAGCTCATCCATCAATTTTGATATATTACGATTGTGAAGACAAACCCACCGAATGGCCTAAGGTGGGCACTCCTCAAGAATCAATTGTCTACGGCTATGATTTCATGAAACATTGTTTTTATAAAACTTTCAATTCTCTTCCAGTTCTCATTGATGAATAAAAATCGAAACAAACTTTAATAATTTTCAAAGTTTAATACCACTAGTGGTTACATATTTTATTCTTTCGTCCTTATTGTTGATAAAAATCACCAGATATCAAAACAAGTGAGTCTAAGCTGATTACCTGTTCTCTTCAACAACCGACTGACTTGAATCAACCAAAAAGCCAAAATATGAATAAAAAATTCGTAATCAAGTTGCTCTTGGTTGCCGAATATGCAGTCTTTGGCTCGTATTCACCTACCGAGATTTAGCTTAACTCTGAGATTAAATCAGCTGAGTTCAACTGTTTCACTAATTAAAATTAAAATTTGATCTGTAGTCACAGCTAAACGCAGATTTCTAAAACTCGCAATCAAAAATTTGCATTTCACCATTAAACCCTTTCATCTGTCAAAAAGTAACAAGTTGTTTGTTTCTGAATGTATTTCAATAGCAATTCAATGAAGTCTTTTCACTTAATTTATGATTCGTCTTTTTTTGGGTATAACTCATCTAGAAAATTTAGATGAATAGATCACAAATCCATTGACAAGATTAAGAATTTTGCTGAAAATAAACTTTATTTGCTTTTAACCATAAAAGTTAAACTCATTTAGTATTAATCAATTGATTAATTAATCGAATCTACCATGTACATACTTATGTACATGAACGAAACTTTAATAAGATAACCAGTGTTTTAAACGGAGGCTGAGGTTGCGACTTCTCCTGATGAAGCAGCTGAAGCGACAACTTCTTCAGCTTGGTCTAATTCAGCGGCAGCGGCTTTGACGGCTTCGATCTTTTGTGCGGATGGAAGTTTGTCAGCACCGTTAACCTTTTCCATGGCTCCTTGGATCTTTTCTTTTTGTTCTTGGATCTTTTCGTTATCTTCTCCTCGGAATGAGTCTAACAAATCATCGAATCGGTTTCGAAGGGCATCAAATCGTTCAGTGATGGTGTTCTTAAGACCAGACCAGTTGATTCCGAAAAGAGATCGAGACTTGGCAGCTGAAACTTCACTAACAACTTGGTTCTCAACATTGTCAACTGAGTTGACAATTTGGTTAACGGCTTCAGTTGATTGAGTGTTGTGGAGTCGATCCTTAAGAGCCTTCAAGGTCTTGAGAGCATTGTCGAGGATCAGTTGTCGAACTTCGTCTAATTTACCCTTGTTCTTTTCGATGTATGATTCCAATGAAGTAGTGACGGCGTCAACTCGATCAGAGACGATTCCTTGGAGACCTGGAAGGTTCTTAATGAGAGCATCAGCTCCATCTTCGAGAAGATCTTCAGCAGATTCTTGGAGTTGTTTAAGTCCATTCATGAAAGATTCTTTAGCTTGAGCGATTTGTTGTTGAAGAGCTGAGCCGAAGAATTTTCCAAATTGAGCCTTGGCATCGTTGAAAGCTGATTGAGCGTTAGCCACTAAGTCGTTTAAGACATTTCGCTTTTCAACGGATCGAGCTTCGATAGCGACGACTAAACAAGAGAAACAAGAAAATAATCATTAGAATAATCAACTAATTGTTCACACAATTGGAATAGTCTAATACTTACATCCAGCGACGAGGAGAACAGCAAGAGTAAGTCCTAAGAATTTCATTTTGATTTTTTTTATATTTTCTGATTAAAGACAATTAATCTGATGAGAATTGGATGTAAATCAGTTCCCTTTTTATACTAGAAAATGGAAGATAATTTTTGATCCATTCGGGCTCACAATTAGTAAATCACCTTAATCTCACCTGTTTAATTTGTTATTTCAAAAACATTATCATCTCCTAAATAAGTTCCATCCTTTGTATTTATCTAATTAGGATTGACATCTAATTGTTTCTTTCTCATAGCTAATCCAATTCTTGACGTTCATTGTCAACGTATAATGTTAGGCCTGATTCAACCGATGAACTTATTCACTATTGATCAATAATCAATAATGTTTACAACTATCGTTTGATTTTGAATAACAAGGAACAATAAGTGTTAATTGTTATCATCAACATTTCAATCAATCGGATAACCTCTTGATATTTAACCAAATGCTTATTATTTTTCCAGGGCTCATATTGAACTAATAAATTGACATGATTTAATATTCATCATAAGATAATCATCTGATTAATTAATCAATCATGAAAACAATGAAACAGAAATATTTTCATTATTACGATTGAATTAAAGGAGAATCAAAATTGAAATCTAAATAACAATCTAATGAGCTCGATTGGTCGAGTGACCTTATTTTCAGACTCAACTGGGAATATATAATAATAATAATCGTGAACATTGAATTGACCACAAGAGTTGAAAATATTATAACCCAAGTATTTAGATCATGATAATAATTTTGTTGGTCAGCAGGATGATGACGATGAAGATGATGATGATGATGATGATCTCTCTTGCATGCAAAGTACTTGGTTATGCTCGGCCAGTCTCATAAGGAAGCAAATTTGATAAATATGAAAATGGGAGTAGGAAGAGTGAGTCAGTTAATTGCGATGAAAATAACTGGAAAAATGAATGATAGAGAGTGAAAGAGATTAGGTAAAAATCTAGACAATTAGTTGACATTGTTATCCTAAAGTTGAACAATCAAGGTACCGAATAGAAAAGTGATTTAGTTAATCCCTAGTAATTTGATCGTTAATCTCACAATCAAATCGAAGGTCGTTAAATTGGTTGGCCATTTAGTGGACTTTTCTTGGTTAAGGTTATTGGCTAAATTGTTATTGTTTATCATCGCCATGGTTAATCCAGCAATTAAACAACTTTGTATCTGCCAAATTTGTATTTGTGGGTAAGTATCAAAATTTTGGTTCCTTGATTTGAGTTCAAAATTTCATAGCAATTAACTCATGGCTTTGTAATTAAGTCCAAATCTATTTACTCATTTAATTTGATTCTTATTTGAGTGACTCTTATTTTCAGAACTTCTCATGTCAGATTGTTCAGGTTTATCGACAGAATATCATCTTTAGTATAAAAGTGACCTAAATTTTCAGCAACAAACTTTTTCGATTGAAAAGATTTGACCAGAATTCTGATAATATCTTCAGAATTTATTATCTACAAACAAATTAGAAATATAATAGAGATAAACTCGAACTTCTTATCGATTAGATTGCGACTTTGATTCGTAAACTTGTATCTAATTAGTAGTTTTTTTCTCAATCTTTCTAATCTTGATTAAAATTTTCTAATTAAAAAGTTGATTTATAATCTTTTTTGTTACTTTTTATTGGTGTGAAATCCTTTTGATTCGGGGAAAAAACTTTTTCAATTAGCATATTATAATTGAAATTATAATCGTATTTAGTTTTTTTTATACTAAATTATGTATTAATATTTTCTCGACGAAAAAGAAATCAAATTAGTTTAATTGTCGACTTGATTAGTTGATGTTTGAAGGTTGATATTTTTCCTTGAGACGAGAATCTGATTGAGATCATAACTACGAGGATTAGCAATCAATGCGCAATTTCAATTGTATAACTTGTGATAGAGTCCGAATATTATTATCACCATGGACACAACGAGATCAAGGGTAGATTCCAATTGATAGTCAAGGTATTTAATCACTTGGTCTGAAAACTGAATTATTAATTAATAATATTCAGGTAAAATCACCCCAGACGCCCTTTTCTCTGACATGATACCGTTGACCATGGGTCAACAACTATTAATAGTTGGAATAACTTAAAATTATTTAATGAGTTTTCAATTTTCTTGGTGAAGAATTAACTTTGATCGAATCAAAATTAATTATTATCCTTCAACTATTGTCGTAATCACGTTATCAGGATACCGGAAAAGGATATTGATAGAAAGATGGACCCAAAATGAAGGATATGATGAAACTTGAAAAAGGAAATGTCAAATATTTCGGATTAAAATAAGATTAATCTGCCGATGGGATTATAATTTTTTTGTACTTTAAATCATCAGACTTGATTCTGATAATTTAATGGACATTATTTATTTAGATATTGTCTAAATTTAGGTCAACACGCGTGTGATCAGGAAACGATTACTTGATGAAACGGTTCAGGTACCATATCGATTGGACAGTTAAACTCATCATTCCTAAACAATATTCAGTCTCAAGTCACATGAAATCACCAAGATGATTCATGTAACCATCAGCATACATTTTAATTGTTCAGAATCTTCCCTTTTCTCTCTCTCTCTCTCTCTCTCTGTTTTTTTTTCACGAATGCTCACTAATTAACCTCCCTTACTCTGTGAGACTCTGAGAACTCATTTAATTTATATCGTAGCAACATTTCAAGAATGATTAGCCAAGAGTAACCATCGGATTGAAGTTAATTGTTCATCATCATCATCATATGAACAATGAACAATCATGGGCACAAAAACTTCCACAGGGAAGTTTAACTTTCTCTCTCACTTATCCCTCCCTCTTCAGGTATCCTTTTGGTCATCAGGTAATAGTTTAGTTAATCAATAGATTAAAAGTGATCTATTGTTTTTCGTTGTTGTTATTGTTTCCTTTTTTCCAAATCAAAGTTAATCAATTGATTTAAAATTTTGTTCCATTCTCTTTGTTAAATGTTACTCATCTCATAAAGTTCCTCACGATAATGATTATGTGTATTACTTTACAATTAAGCTTAATTAGTAAATTGCTCTATGATAAGACATCGATATCACCCTCCCTGTGGTAAACATCGATGGGACCTTTTCCTTTTTATCAATACACCAACAAAGTTACGATCGAAATCAAATCTTGATCCAATTCCGGAAACTCGGTGTCTCTATTGTTCACAACAATTAACTGGGGAAAGGTTTGTTTCAAATGGCCAATCTAATTAACTTATAATAAGATTAACTTATTATGTCTTTATAATCTTGATTCTATCGCTACTTTGGATTAGGATTAAGATTAAATCTTGATAGTTAATTATTTTCTTTGTCTTTCCTTTTATCAACTTAAACTTTTCAATAATTAAGATCAACCAATAAGCTAAAACTTGTTAGTTTATTGATTTTATCGTTAATTGTTTACTTGACTAATAATCGTAGTTCAATGAACTCAATGTTGTCTAATTTATGCTAATTGATATGTACAATTAAATCATTGCTATGATAACTGATTAATTGTAATCAATTTTGCCTGTTAATGGCAATGACTATCAATATTTACCAATGATTAACTTTATTATTGTTTGTGATTGTTTAATTGTTTTCTCAAGTGTTTGGGTTGCAGTTTCGAATCTTAATTGTGATCAAATCAAATTAATTTCTTTGGTTTTACCTTATTTTTGTTTTCTATTAGTGAACACAAATGTAATCCTGATAATCCATACGAAATTTGCTCTGTTCGAGGTTCTAATGGTAATAAAACTTCAACTGGTGTTGGTGATTATGTTATCACCAATAATGATATGATATCGGAAACGGAAAGAGCTGCTCGAAGAGAAAAATGTCGAAAACAATGGCAAATATCTCCTGAGGCTTTAAAGTCAATCTCAAATTCATACCCGAAAGTTAGTAATCCGAGTGCTTCGTCTATTACCTCGAGAGAAGGTCGAGTTGGTGGTGGACAAAATCGTCGAAATCATTTGACCAACGTTAAGCAAAGTGTCGGTCAAAATAATAGTAGTGGTTCTGGTCATAATTCTAATCGTAAATTACCGCCGATTGAACGGTCAGTTGAGAGTCAAAACTTTGACTCGAACAACATTTCAATCTCTCGAACTGAATCTCACCAGAAACGTTCAATCTCAACGAATGAAATTGTCACTGAAAAAAGTAAAGAAATTTCTTCAATTAATTATAATCGAGAAGGAACAGAATCTTCTTGTTCACAAATAATGGAGTCTCAACATCGTGAGGCCACTTTAGGTCGAATCGATGCTTCGGTTAGAGAGGATCATAGTATTTCTTGTGAACCAGAGTGGATCGTAAGTCGACCAACTAAAGCAAAGCCGACAGATAATCTCAAATGGGAAGGGCCTATGGAATTAGAAACAACCTTCAAGTCAACCATTGATTCATCTGCAGCTCAACGTTTAATCGCCTCAAGGCAAGGCGATGGCGAACATGGGACAATTGCATCTCCTATGAACATCGGTGCTGGCGATCCTACAGTTCCTTTTAAAAGACGCCATAGACCCAAGACATCATTGAAACTCGGCGGTGAAGGTTCTTATTCAACGATCAATAGGGAGAGTTACAAAAACTTCGTAGTCGTTGATCAAAGTCGTGAACAATTGGTTCAAGATCGACTTGATGCTTTAGCCCGATCGATGGATGAAAGGCAAAAACTGATGGAACAACAGGGTTCAGGATCAAATCGAAATCAAATTAAGTCAAAATCGAAAAGATCTACAGACATTCAACCAACACCAACACGATCTTCGGCTACCGATCAATATAATCATAAGGTAATTGTAGCAAGTAAATCAAAAGTTTCGAGTGAACAAAAATCTCACCAAACAGAAGTAAATGAACACCAATCAAAAATAATCACGAAGTCAAAGGTTAATCATAATGATGAAAACAATACAACCAAGAAACAAAGTTTTCAGGGAGCAGTTGAAGTTACCAAATCAACTAAATCAAATCAACAGAAAACAATTAAAGACAATGGACAAAATCGTCATGAGAAAATGACAATTGAAAACGAGGGAAAAAATATCAATACAATTGTTGAATCAGATAATCATGCAAATGGAAACGCTGATAAAAGTTCCTATCGAAAAGTTGAAATTAATTCACGAAATGAAAATGGTCATGGGTCACGAAATAAATCACCGATTCCAAGTAAATCAGGGGGAACTGTACCTTTTGCTGTTCCAATTGTGAGGCCAAGTCCGATTCGACCGACATCTTCACTTACATTGAATTGTAAGTTCAAAGGAGATCGAGTAATGTCAACATCGGAAGTTGATTCAAATGAATCGAATAGTAAATCAGATGAAATCAATTCTTCCAATCATTTGATTACCACCAAGGAAAATGTGACGATGGAAAAAGAATCTGAACATAAAAATCGAAAAGATCATTATACAATTTACGAGGAATCATTGAAAGTTGAAAGAGATCGAATGAAAAGTTCCAAGAGTAATCCGGCATTGAACAATATGAATGATCAACAGAATAAAATGAATGAAGATGAAAGAGATCAGATGAAGAGAGAAGATAAAAATGCATCAAAGCAAAAACGAGCTCGAAGTTTACCTCGACATCGAGGTTCACGAGATCGTAATGAGAGTCATTTGAAATTCGATGGTAACATGGATTTTGAAACGACAACTCATCACGATTATCATGACTATCAAGATGGTTCACAGGTTAATGCATATTTTCATGAGAGTCGATCGATTGGTCAACGAAAACCATATCGAGATCTATTTAGAACTTCATCTGAAGCCGAACTAATGACCAGTGTTAAGACAATTCAAGAGAATAGAACAATGAATAAAGCGAATAGTAAATCAACCAATACAATGACAACAACTTATAATTCAGTTTTTCGAAATAAACTTTATTGTCCTGTGATTGATTTAACACCAAAAAATCCGGAATTCCAATATAAAGGTGAAGCTGGTGGTCATCACTTTTTTCAACCTCTTTTCTTTACATCAACTTGAGATTTGTCATCTTTGTCACCTTCGTCACCTTCATCTTCTGGAAGTGGTCGCTTGACACCCTGAGGTTTTTTCTTTTTCTTTTCAAAATATTCCTTCCTTCGAGCTAGATGGATCAACTCTTTCTCCTTTAACAATTCTTTTCCATTGTAATTAAGTGCGTCATTAAGGGTTTTTTCAGCATCTGATTCATATTTAAAAACGGCCAATATACATCCTTTAAAAACTCCTTTCTTTGTTTTCCTCATTAAAAGTGACTCAAGTCTACCAAAGCTTGACATATATGACCATAGTTCATCAAATGACGATTCCAGTGGAAATCCTTTAACATGAAGAGTCTTTTTAATGGCTTCTTCTTTATATTCATCAGTTTTTTCTGGTAATGGAAATTTGGAAGATCTTCGTATCTTGGTACCTTCTTCATCGATTTCAATAAAATCTGAGTTGGTTGATTTAATTGCTTTAACAACTGTATCAGGTTCTTCAGTAATAGCAGCAAGCTTTTTAAAAGTTAATAAAACACTCAATGGAATCCAACCATCATTTTTAACCAATTGTTCTTGCATAAATTTATCTCGAGTCAAATTAAAATCACTAAAGTAATACTTAATTTGATTGGCAATCTTTTCGAAAGGTTTAACCTCCATAGTTGAATTCAATAAAGAAAACACAAACAAATCAAACAGCCAAGAGTCACAAAAGTAATTACAAGAAAATAATCAAAAAAAGAAATTGAAAACCAAACAATTAAAAAGATAAATTAAATGAAACAAAATCTAAAAATAACCAACAATTAATGTGGAGAAAAATCAAAATAAACCAACAGTTGCTAGAGAACAAGCATGTTCTTTGCGCATGCGCAGATCAAAATAGAAAAAAGAACAATCGAAACAGTCGATTAATCGATTCCGATTGTCGTAAATGGGAGAGACTAAGAGAGAGAAAGAGAGAGAGAGAGATAAACTTTTCCATGTTAATTGTATCCAAAGAGTATAGTGAAAGAGACTGCAAGCTATCCGTGCTGAGAGCAAACTGAGCCCGGATGCCACCAGAGGGCGCTTTTTACCATTTCTCTTTCTTTTTCTCTTTCTTTTTTGTAGACTAAGGGCCCTTTCTTTTCTCTTTCTTTTTTTGAGATTAAGGGCCCTTTCTTTTCACTTTCTTTTTCTCAATTTCTCTTTCTTTTCCTCTTTCTTTTCCCTTTCTTTTTACTTTTTTCAGCGGAAAAAAAGTAAACTAAAAAGAAAGGGAAAAAAGAAAGAGAAATGGTAAAAAGCGCCCTCTGGTGGCATCCGGGCTCAGTTTGCTCTCAGCACGGATAGCTTGCTCTCTCTTGCTTCTTACTCTTTGATTGTATCTGTTCAATTGATAAACAATTTAATTATGATTTGGTTTGTTTCTTGTTTAATTCAGTTTTGTCAATCTAATTTGTTTGACAATTAAAAGTGTTTAAGAATTTATCAACAGTGGCAGAGATTGAGAAGAATAGAAAAAGAAAAATTCGATTGTAAAAAAATTCTCTTCTCATTTTTGTTTTGTTTTTGTTTCTAAAAAAACTCTGCCTATCACTAAACTATAACATCTATATTATACTTAACGATTATGGGTTTTTTTAATTGTTTCCGTTCTCGACCTATTATATTACTTTTCATTGCCTCAACTATCACATTGTCAAGTTTTTTAACCTTTTTTCTTATGCCCAATGTGATTAAATCAATTATTGCTAAGGTAAGTCAATCAATCTTTTCTAATTAATCAATTCAACTTTTCTTCTCATTTTCGCTCCTTTTTGTTTTTTTCCTGTTTTCTTGTTGTTGTTTTATTTTCTTTCTCTGGTAGTGGGTGTTTTATCGCTATCATTTGTTTATTACTCTATTTTAATTGTTATTTTACTTTCTCTTGCAGACACTTCCATTAGTTAATAGTTCAACTTCACTCACTTTTGACAAATGGGAAAGTATTCCGATTCCAATTGTGACCAATTTTTACCTTTTTAACATTACTAACCCTGAGGAGGTGATAAAACATGGCCGATCACCAATTGTCCAAGAGCTTGGTAAGTTGATTGTGATATTTTACATTACAATTAGTTATACATTTCTTTCAACGTTTACAGGATTGTTCAATATTTTTGATGTAATCAACGTGTGATTATTAAGTGCATGTAATTGTTTGTTTTGGTTCAACCGAAAACTCATTGATCAGTTCATCCTAGTGCTTACATTAATCGAAGGTAACAAGTTATCAGCTGATAGTGGTTATTAATTTTTCTCTCTTTTAATCACATTATGGTCGTTGTTTTTGTTTTATTCTTTGTTGTTGTTTTGTTCCTCTGTTCAAGGCTGTTGCTTTTATTTCCTTAGTAAGGTGACATTTGCACTTGGATCAACCTAATTTTAACCAAAATACCATCATCCTCGTGTAGATAGACTGTTAATCCATAAACACAAATTTAAATCTAAAAGCAACAACCTTTATTTTAAAACTTTTCTTCTCAACCTCTTCTCTTATTGTCTTTCTAATTGTTTTCATTGATCTCTTTTCTGTTTCATGATAATTTTCAATTCAATCTTATTATTTCTCTTTAAGGTCCCTATGCTTTTGCTGAGTCAAGAAAAAAAGTAGATCTCAGTTGGTCCGAGAATCTTGATATTGTTAATTATGGACAATCCAGGACGTGGAAATTTTTACCTGAACTAACAAATGGATCTTTGGACGATCCTGTTTATCATCTTAACGTTCCTATGGTGGTGAGTTTGTTATCTTAATATTCATATCAAACCTCTGTCTGCACTTTTACAACTAATCCATCATTATCAACAATCATCTTACACAATTCTCACTATTAATTTATTTCTAAAACTGTTGTAGTAACATTCTTTTACCCTTGGGGAAAACAGGGTTTAAAACGACTGTTGCTCACAGAGAAACATAGAAAATGGTAGTCAATTAAATAAGAAGAGATGAAGACAGAGAAACAATTTTCTTTTTGATTGTTGATGACCTCGAATTAATTTTTACTCCTCTCTCTCTCTCTCTCTCTCTCTCTCTCTCTCTCTCTCTCTCTACATTCATCATTATCTAGGTGGAAATGAATAATTTTGTTTACAGAAACGAAATAGATTAATACTTGACTTAACAATCAACTAATTATCCTTTGTATCCTTGTGTGTTTCTCGCAACCACTACTTGTCTCTAATCGTTTTTTCTGTGATAATCATTATTCCCTTATTTTCCTACTTTCTTTTTAATCTACTAATAGATTTTATTTAATATTCTTTTATTATTATTGCAATTGTAAAATTCTATTATTTATTCTGATTTAATCCATCGTTTCATCATCACTTAGCATTTTGACACATTGAATTAATTCAAGTCTCAAATTATTTTAGAGACTTTTTCATTCTTGATAACTTGTTGATAAGTTTGTCTCCATTTTATATCAAATTGATTGCAGTAAACAAACCGATTGCATCATGTTATCAACTGACCATGATCATTGATGTTAATCTAAAAATGATGAAATTACCTAATTTTTTACGCCAGCTGATATTTCTTTGGCTGATGCCAATCAAATTAAGAATTGAAAATAGATTAACATTTTTAACTCATAATTTCATTTACATCTTAATTTTAATTGCCCTAATTATTAAATAATTAATGTTTTTCTTTTCTGGTAATTTTGCACATTGATGATTAATTTTAATCATAATTCGCTATTTATTATTAATTATCTATTGTAAAAATAATTCCCTATGAGTAGGTAAATACATCTACATGTACATCTAGATGATAAGTAAATCAACAAACGATTGTTGTAAGAGGGTCAATAAGGTTGACAATTTAAGCAGTAGGTCAAAATTTTACTTATTTCTAGTAAGTAAAAGTAATTCAGTTGATTGTTACAATCGTAATTATTTCTTACCTTGTTTATTTTCCTTGTTTGGTTTCCTTGTTCAATTAAGTTCGATGCCGTGATTACCTTATTTGTAATTCTAGTAACTTTCCTGGTGAATCAATTAAATAGATTGATACGTGTATTGGCTCAATTACCTACCGGAGAAAGTTATTATTATTTTTCGATTAATATTACTTATTTTAGCGAATACAATATTTTCTATTGAATTTTATTAAAAAAAGATCTTTGGAAATTGCTGTAAGAATAACCTTAAAAAGATCACCAGAGAATTGGGTTAACTTCCGCAATCGAAGTAATTAACTGTGTGATTATCATCATAAACAATTAATAAGACTAATTGAGATTAAGAGGCTGCTAGTTTTGTATTAACTTAATACCTCCTCTGATTAAGTTGAATATTAGCAATATTTAACATTAGATTATCTTTGTTAAATCAGCATTTATTGAACAGCAATTAAGCTTTTCCACTCATTAAGCTTTTTTCTAGATTTTATTAATATTGTTATCAAATTTTCGTTATTTTTCACAATTCTGATTTTGTAAGAACCTTGAAATTTAACGGGAACACGATTACATCAGTTATAAATATTACATGGTTACATGATTTGTTTGATCTATCTGATAGATTATCCTACAATAATATTTATCCTATTTCCAGGTAACTTGATAACTTAAATTATTCTCCAGAAATAGATACCGTTCATCTATGAAGTACAAAATATTTTGTTTATAGAATTGAACAATTGAAATTCGATACGTTTATCATTCAGTATCATTTTCACATGATTATTAATGTCAGATTATCTTCATACTTTGAGGTGTTGATTGATTCAATTTCACAACATTTGGTTACCTGAGTTTATTAACATAAATGAACTGAACTTTACATCAGTTACATTTAACGTAGTTTTATCATTCAACTCATTTTACCCTAATCTTCATCTTAATATTAATCTTAACGACTTATGTATATAAATTATGAAGCAATTTCACTTCTAGAACTAAAAACTAGGATTAAAAAGTAAATCTATTAATAGATCAACATATTGGAAAACTATTACTAGTCTTCTGTTAACTTAATTAAAGATCTTATTGAGATTTAATTGACTCAATATTGATTTTAGTTATTAAATTGATTAACATCAATATTTGATTGTTTCGTTTCTTTTAAATAGAAATGTTGAATTTTCAGTTTTCCTGTGAATTGGTTGTATGATGATTGATTTAGTTGTTGTGTCATTATATTATCTTATCATCACTTGTCAAGACAGACATTTTTTTGCATAAATTTACTTGAATCTGATTGTCTAAGGTTAACCAAGGTAACGCTCATTAATTAATCTAATTACTGTTAAGACTTTTGAAGTATTAGGAAACAATTTCGACAAACAGGAACTCTTATGCTAATTATAGTGATAGTGACAACTGTAATCTTTGTAACCTAATGTTTGCTACTGATACTTGTTTGCATAAATAAAAATAACAGTTACTTTCTCCTAACTTTTTCCTATTTGGCTCATCTAATTGTTGTTGTTTTGAAAAATTTGATGACTAATTGAGAAACTGAGCTGTAGTATTAAATAGTTGAGAAGTTGATTAAACGTTTTATTGACTAATCTGTTTGATTCAATGCGAGAATCTTATTGATAACTCATGATTTTTGGCGAATTGTAAACAATATTGCATTAATTATTGTTATATAATGTAATTTGATTGAATTTTTGTTTTAATTGAGTTTTCATCCACCTTTGTCTTTTAGGCGGCTGGCTCAACTGTCCATGGTCGTATCTTCACTGCCATGGCTTTGAATGGAGTGATAAAGGCTACTAATAGTCATCTAGTTGCTAAACACACTGTCAATGAATTACTTTTCACTGGCTACGAGGACTCATTGATTACCTTCGCTCGAACCTTGGGAATGGATGTTCCATACGATAAATTTGGCTGGTTTTATGGTAGAAATGGTACAGTTTCTGATGGTACATTTGGTATCTACACTGGTGCTTTGAGTCTTGATCGTTTCGACACAATGTACTCTTGGAATAACCATACTACGCTACCACTTTGGTGGGGCGACGAATGTAACTCCCTGGCGGGTGTTTCAGCATCAGATTTTCAAATACCCTTGCAAAAATTTCCAGCCTCTTCCATTAAATTATTTGTCGGTGATACTTGTCGCTCTCTCGAGCTTCCCTTCGAGAGACAGGTTATCAAATATGGAGTAAAATCATTCAGATATTCAGCTGATTCTGGTTTATTCAATTACTCAATCAAAAGCAATCGATGCTACTGTAACAATAATGCGTAAGTATTTTTATTCTTTTTTTAATTCCAATTATATTATAAATCATATTATTTAGTTGAATTTACAAAGATCAACAATTCACGTGAAAATTTTCAATATCGAGACTTGGCTGCTATAAAATGTTCAATTTAATCATCGTAGCTCTACAATAAGTAATAAGCAATGACCAATGTCCACTTGGAATTTAACCTTCACACGAAAATTTTATTACAGAATTTAATTCATTAGACAAATAATTATTTTTTCTATTTATCCTAAATGTCATGGTCAACAAAAAGCAAACGAATGACATTGGTTTTAAGAATGTCAATCAAAATTTTTATCCTTTCAACGAACCAACAATTCAAATTGATTTTTATTAATATTTTCAATATTATATCACATTCCAACTAATCCAACTAATAAATCAACAAATCTTAATTACATGTGATCAAATCTCACTTGATCCATATGGATTAGTTTTAAATCTCATTGATTTTTGTTTCTTTTTCATAATAATAATAGATGTCCACCTGATGGTGTCGCTGATATATCACCATGTACCCATGGGTCACCCGCTGCAATGTCTCTGCCTCATTTCTTATTCGGAGATGCATCTCTCTTTGAACGTGTTCATGGTCTTCAACCAGATATAAATAAACATGAATTTTACATGGATGTTGAACCGGTAGGAATCAGACTTTAGTGTTTATAGAGAGAGAAAGAGAAAGAGAGAGAAATACAATTAATCAATCGACATGAGAAAGTACCTAAAAGATAGGTTAGCTTAATTACTACAAATAGAATCACATTAATTGTGTATAACCTAATTTTATAATTGATTGTTTTTTATCACATTGATTAAGTTTAATCTCAAGTTTTGTTAAAGTAGTGTTTCTAGTGCCTCAAAGTTAATTGTGTTGATTGTGTAGTCAACTTTTGTTTTAATTAGCACATAAGCATTTAGAAATTAAATAGGCTTAATTGTTGAGACAAAGAAATCAGATTACTTTTATCGTGAGAAAAAAAAATCATTGGAAAAGATTCAACGTGGTGATAGTTTAATGATTCTCAATACATTTGATTGATCTTTTGTCTGGATAAACCTTAGAATCAGAATACAATCAGGTAACATAATCTGCTGTTTATCAACTGTTGATTTTCACAAAATTAACAATATCAAGTTGATCATGTGGACAATTGAAATTTGATCAAGCAAATTAACTATCAGATTCGAATCGGATCATCATAGTTAATTAATATTTTGATATCCAGAATAAACCGGTCTCTTAATTATATAGATTTTCTTAGTATTAACAATTTGATTCTAGTTTGATAATCAGAATTCGATATAATTATCATTCAGATTTAATTAAAATAAATTAACTAATTCTTTTCTTATTGGCCTCGGTTAAAGAAATCATTTCTAATGGATAAAATTTTATTCTTTTTCTTTTCCTTGTTTATGATTAACTAATCGTCGATTAACTGAAAGAAAAGAAATTCATTTAAATATTAAATTAATTATCATTCTTATATTTTTTTTCCAACAGACTCTTGGTGTTCCCACCAAAGTAAAGGTAACAATGCAAATCAACGTTCTATTGGAAAAAGATGAACTACTTAATTACGCCAAGGACTTAGCATTTGACAAAACTTACGTTCCAATGATCTGGTTTAGTGCTGTGAGTTGAAAGAGATTCTGAATTGATCATAATTGATTACTGACCGTCTTTTTGTTTCATATACTTTTCCTCAGGGAGCTGAACTGGATGAATCTATGGCTGGTCAATTGCGACTTTTGCAAAATCTTGGTCTCATTCTCAATATTTTCGCGTCCCTACAAGCGACAGTTGTTATTATCTTACTTTCCATAACGCTGATTTTTTATCGATCTCAATTATGTTCCTCAGAGAAACATCACCTGGTAATTCATTGCAATCATGATATTTCCTCAATACAAGTCAAACACGTTATCCATTCCAACAAGTTCTAAGACTAATCTTAAACTCTAATTTTTTTTTCATATTATCTCATTTTTCTTAGGTGCCAACCGAAGACGAAGATTCAAACGATAGTTAAATTTACATAAATTCACGGCAATCAATTAATTACTTTTTTTTCATAAATATGATCCCATCATCATCATCATCATCATCATCATCATTAACTAATCATGATGAATTGATAAAAAAAACAAATCGTGTTCAAAAGTCTTTCAATCATCATCCTCATCATCATTTTCACCCAAAGATTTTGCAATTTTCAATTGAATCCATTGTGCTGATTCTTGTATTCCTAAAATCCGAATTACTTTATACAAAAATTCCTATCTTTGTTACCTGTGGTTTCTTAATTGTAATTAAATTTACAAACTATTTCCTACATCGAAGTACTAATTGATAAATATGGATACGAATATTTATATTTTTGTTTTCGAAAGAAAAAATCCTTTTATATCTTAGTCATTACCAAGAAATTATTAAATTTGATTTCAATATTTTTATTAATGAAAATCCAAAATGATCTCAATTTACTCATCCCAACCATCAATGAAACAACACTTTCACTTTATTATTAATAACAATTTAGATCAACGTCTAATTCAATTGTTTTTCCCCATCACTGATAAGCAATCTAATTACTTTCTCCTAGTTTTTTTTAATTAATCGATTGTTAATCAGCCAAGATAAAAGCAAAAACGTTAAACAAACGGGGATTTATTTTCCCACTGACAATCAGTGAAAATCAACATTACAGTTACAATCATTATAAGTTGTCCAACGAGTTTTTATTTGATTGCTTAATTTAATTTCTCCTCGTAGTAAACTAATTGTGTGAAAGAAACTCAAATCATTATCCTCGTTTGTTTACCTACGGCAACTTAAAGAGGAAAACAAAACAAAAAGGTTGATCAATAATCCCAAGTGTCGATCCTGTTGGTACAAACTAATATTATGTTAACAAATTGTTTCTAATTGTGTATAAATTGTTACTCTAAATCTAATAGATAGAAAATTATACTAAACCTAATGAATACTTTTTGGATAATCAACTTGTTGAATTTATTTTTCTTGTCAACATATGTAATTTATACCTTGTTTTCATCATCATCATCATCAAGTGAACATGTTAATCTAAATGATGTCGACTATGGTGATAGTCCAGAGATAATTGAATCTCGTGGATTTAATTGTGAAACTCATAAAATTGTTACAAGTGATGGTTATATTCTTACCATGTTTAGGATTGTTAATCCATTGATATTTTCTAATCTTAATGATACTGATAAGTTAACCTCAGGTAAACCAGTTCTCCTTCAAAGTGGTTTGTTTGGTTCTTCAGATGATTTTATAATTAATTCACCTGATGGTTACATTGATCAATCTTTTCTTAAATTTCGCCAATCGTATCAGTCTGTTGACTACAAGAAAAGTGGCCGAAATTTGGGCTTTCTACTTGCTAACCTTGGGTACGATGTTTGGTTAACTAATTTCCGTGGAAATTACTATTCACGTAATCATACAACTTTCGATCCTAATTCATCAGGTACCTTGAAATTCATGTGATATTTTTCCAAATAATTTATCAACTTTTCCTTTCTCTTCAGAATTTTGGTCAACCGGTTATGATGAGATGGCAACAATTGACTTACCAATGACGATTGATTACATTCTAGCAAAGACTAAAAAAGGTTATAATCCAATTAGTTAACAGTAATTACAATCAGTTCGCAATTGTTTTCATTCAATTTTCTTCAAATTTTCAATTCGTCAACAAAAACTTCTGACATCTATTGTTGGAATAAAAGACTAATATAGTTTTATATTCGATCGCTAGGTGGCAGCGCGTTTTTCGCATTAATTGTTTATCAAAACTTTTTGAATTTCGTTGGTGTTTTTTGTTTGCAATTAAAACGAACTAAATAATTGATTTATCTTTTCTCAAATTTAGAAAATGTTGGTTATGTTGGAATGTCTCGAGGATCGGCTATTATGTTTGCACTTTTATCAGAGAAAACTGAATATTCTAAGAAAGTTAAGCCTTTTATCGCCATGGCTCCAGCCGTTTATGTTAAAAGAAAAAGTCGAAGTTATTTGAGAACATTTTTCGAACTGAGTTACCTTTCATCATATTTACTTTCCAATCCAAGTGAATGTTTCGGCCGTGGTTTTGCAAAATCTATACTCACAATTTGCTCTTATCCAATGGTCGACGTTCTCTGTTTAATGGCACGACAACCATTTAGACTAATGTCAAGTAATCAAGTTAATTCATCTCGAGTAGCGATCTACTTTACTCATTACCCTGCAGGATCACCTTGTTGGGATATAATTCATTTCAATCAGGTTGGATCATCCAATCAATTTCGTAAACTTGATTTTGGTCCAACAAAAAATGCCGTCAAATACGGTCAACCCGAACCTCCGATCTACCAATTAGAGAAAATTAATTCTCATCATATTTTCATAATCAGTTCAACTGGAGATACGGTTATTCATCATGATAATGTCGTTAGATTAGTTGAACATCTTAAAGGTTTGTATACAGATCGATGCACTTTTCAATGGATTATTGTCTAAGATCATCTCTATCTTAATCTATAGTTAAACCCAAGGAATGGATTCTAGTAAATGGAACAGATTTCAATCATAGTCATTTCATTCACTCAATAGATGCTGGAGTAAAGATTTACAAGGAAATCGCTCGAATCTTATCCGAGTACTAAAAAGATCATAATATTCGTACAAAGTTATCGATATTTGTATTATTATCGTTTAAATGGACGATTTGGAATCTAATCAATCCATAATATACTTTTATATATTCATCATTTATATGTAACTATTTGTAAATGCGCCGATTTTTCATCAAACTGTATTCAATTAAATTGTTCATAAAATCAATATAAATTAATTGTCAATGTCTAAAGTTTGACCAAGACCAATTTTCTTACTTCCATTTAAATTGATTTACTATTACAATTTATTGACCATCTATCATTCAATTCATCTTGATATTTAATCACCAATTGAATTCTAAGGAGTGAATTGAAATGTTTCAATTGAATTACATGTAATCATGAATATTGAACACAATTCATTTAACTCTTGTGAACTTCAAATAATAAACGAGTACAAATAAAAAATAGTCGTTACAATTATGGATAAGAATTTAATTGTTTTCATCCTTTGTTTCATTGGATTCTCAGGTCATATAGCAATTGTAACAATTAACTTCTTAAAGTTCGAGGTTCAAACTCAAGTTATTTATTTGTTCCCGAAAACGCTTTATATTCCCGAAATTGACTTTTCGATTCCTTCTATAGCACTGATCAATATGAGTGAAATTTATATTCGACATCCAGTCCAAATGTCCAAGTTTTGCCGAAGCGTATTAAGTAAGCCAAAACTTGTGATGAATTCTGTTGACGATTTTTTGAAATATTGTCTTAGCAGTGCAAAAGCTTCGTCAATGGCAACTGAACTTTTATCGCGAATAATTACCGTTGGTGATATTGAAAAGTTCACAATAGAACCGAGAAAATTTATCACCAGTGTAGTAGCGCCAAATAGTGACATAGATTTTCTGGAAACGAATTTGTGTCAATTAAGTCTTTTCTTCAGTGGATACGCTTATTTCGTTCGAATATCTTGTAGAAATAATTCTTTGCCCATGAAGGCAATTGCTCCACTCAATTCAATCGGCAATAATGTTCTGGCTTGTGTTTATCATAATTTCACTTTTCTTATGGTTTTCGATTTACCCAAGCTTATTCACCTATCGAGAGTCGACTGACCCAATACTATCAAATGCCACCGATGTCAAAAGCTACTATAACCAATGGTCGTTTCAATAGATTTAAAACCAAATCATTGCCATCACCTTATCAAACTAATTGTCAGGTTTACAATCGATCAGTACAGTAGTAAAGGTATACTAAAGGCACATTAGGGCGGGGCCTAATATTTTTTTTCTCAGAATGGAATAAAAAGGGGTGGGGAAGATTAAGTGGGAAAATTCAAATATTTTAAAACAAAAATTGGCGCGAAAAGTGTATTAACTTAAAGATGGCTAACAATACATGATGAAATGTTTGAACCTAATGAATATTACAATAAATGAAGATTTCATCATAATGATTTTAAGGACTACCTATAGAATGAAGTACCAAAGGTCGCACTCAGATAAGTCTCTTATTCTTTAATCCTCTTAAGTCGTTTACTTCTGAAATGACTTGGGGATACGCCAAATGATGGTTAATGAACCAGATAAGTTTAAACCTCTAACGTAGCTTCGGGGTGATGATATTCCCTCCAGTAATAACCTTAAGGACAGTAGAGAAGGTTTATGAGGCTCCACCTCATACAATTGAATCAGTATAAATAAAGAGCGATTGTCAATGTTAAAGTCATTCATCCTCAGTCAGTCTTCAAGTTAACATCTCCTTTATTCTCAAAGTGAACTACTTCAACTTCAACAAGTCAACAAGTCAACATGTCTTTTAGAACTGTTACCGCATATTCGTGTTCTTCTGCAAACCTACGGACCAATGATGGGAGGTCAAGAGGAAAGTGATGCTCTAGTGGACTATGTTGTGAGTCTAGGTGAAGTCGATTTGACTCAACCACCTTACAACCCCTCTTATAGTGTCGCCTATGAGTATGCTTCAGAATTCCGTGGTATTCCGGCCGAAATATTTGAAAGGGAAGGTTGGCCTGCTAGTTGGTTAGCTTCACGGTGGCCTGGCGAAGTTCCAAGTGAACCCACACCGATAGAAGGAGGTCCAACACCACATGACTGGCTTTATGTACGACTCATTCGGTGATGAGATACCAGCTGAATATTTTGAGAGGTAGGTTGGCCAGAGGAATTGATTAGGTTCCGAAGACCAAATGAAGAGGTTCCATCTGAAGCTTCGAATGAGGTCTCAACCAGTTCTATTCCGATAGAATATACTCAGCCACCTATTGCCTTTATGAGTACGACTCATTCGGTGATGAGGTACCAGCTGAATATTTTGAAAGGTAGGTTGGCCAGCGGAATTGATTGAATTCCGAAGACCAATCGAAGCTCCGAGATGTTCTACACCAATTGAGCCTACTGAACCAGCAACCTTCCCACCTATCTATCATATAAATTGATAGGATACACTCTATTCGGAGGTTTAGATATAACATCTAGTTATACAAAACTGTATCCGATTGATATGATAAATCAATGAAATAATTAATGAATAAATAAAAATGATAAAAACCAATATTTTCTATACTTACTTATTAATACTCAAGTTGAACCCACAGAGGGAGCATCGAGAGTTTAACATATAAATACAGACACAGACACAAAGAAAAGTCATTCAGTTTTGACCAGTCATCGTGATAAGTTTCATCTATAACGTTTTAAAAATTAGTTAAACTTACATTTTGTGATTATACTTCAATATTTAATTGATCATGAGTTCTAATTATACATCTCCATTATTTTTAGATTTATCATTTGAAGAAATGTGTGAAGATCGTCCTTTTCCTTGTCTTAAGAAAATGCCAAGCGTGGATAAGAATATTTCACGTCCATTCAGAAGAGGAATAAAATTGGAGGCTTTCGTGAATATGTGTCAAGACCATGAAGACTATTCAAAAATGCTAAAAGTGGGTAAATACATAAGCAAGGAGGAATGTCTAGAGGCTCCAAAGTTTCTAGATGATGAAATAAGCTATGTTAAACTTCCACGCTTTTTCACTGAAGGATACAAACCAAGATCCAATCTGTGTCAGCATGAAAAAGAAACACAATATAGAAGAAGGAAAATATAAACCATCTCTTTATAGCCTTAAGCATAACTGCCAAGGCATCTGTAATTGTAAGCCTCTTAAACTAGCCTAGAAGCTATCAAGATTAAAAAATAAAAAAGATTATCATAATCTACTTAAGAGATTAAAAAAAACGTTTCTTTTCTTTTCAAACAAGTTACGCCCACAGCAAAACTATCGTATAAAACCAGAAACAGATACGATTTGACTTCATTCCTCTCTTCGTCCAGTAAACATCATTATATTTCATTCGTTTAGTTTAGTTAAAATCAACAATGACTGTGTTAAGTAAATTTTCTAAGTGTTCTTCTGAAATTGGTGAAGGTTTGGCTGTTTGGGGAGCTTTACCAGACCAATTCAAGAAAGAATCTGTACGATTGGCCTCTTTTTTTCATTCACAACCTTGTTGGACTATAAGTGGGGATTCTTTCGCTGAAGTTGCATCTGATGGATTCTTCTACACGGGTATGGATCGAATTGTTAAATGTGTTTTCTGTGATTTTGTCTACAACTTACCATTACTTCCTGATCTACACTGGGTCGATCACCGACTTGAGAAGCCAGACTGTCCTTTCGTTTGTGGAAAAAGTGTTGGTAATGTAACTCACAAACCAGAATCACTTTCATCTTGTGAAGATGATATGCGTTTAAAACTACTTTCTAAGGCATTCGAAGATGTTGTTTTAACGTTGACATTAGATTCTGATTCTGAAAGTGATTCTGAAGAAGAAATGGATGATAGTAATGATGCTGTTGACTATCCATACCAACAGTTTGGTAGACTTTCCGAGACACCTTCTCCTAAAGATACACTATCTCCAACACCATCTGAATCTTCTTCTGGATTTTCCTACAATTCTGGCCCCAAATTCGGACAACTCCCCGAGACACCTCCACCAAAAGATACACCATCACCTCCGATGACTGAAACGCCTACTGGACTCCCCTGTTATCTTTCAAGTCCATGCCAAAGTACCTCCAGAGGAATGATATCGGTAGACTATAATGAAAAGACTGTTTCTCTCGAGGGTCATTACCGTGCACAAGAAACTCTACGGAGGTCGCAGTTGTTCAGAAGAATGAATGTCTTGGAAAAATCATTAATACGACTTCCTTCTGGAAACATACAGATAAGATCCAGAAACCATTATAGAAAGAGCATTTCTACGGTGAGAGTGATAGATCAACGAGTGGCCTGTTTACCGAGATTGTTTTGTTACGGTTACTTTCCAATAGACAAATTACTTTCATCAGGACCTTTCAAACCTGAGAAATCAGAATATTTTGAAAGAATCAAATCTTTCCTCAACTGGGATTTTGATAAAGTAGTTTCTTCTGATCAACTCGCTAAAGCAGGATTTTACTATCGTGGAATCTATGATATTGTTCATTGTTTTCACTGTGATGGCGCTATACATAACTGGCGTATTGGTGATGACCCTTTTACACTCCATGCTAAGTGTTTCCCTAGCTGCGGTTTCATATTGAAAACTAAGGGACAAGATTTTGTCGCAAGCCAATCAAAATCCTTTACTTGCTAATAACACTAACACAACACATTGTAAAATATAATTTAGAAGCATTTGTTAATAATAAATGAATTTGAAACATAATCGATTTTTTTAATCTTTCTTTAATAGATCGTATTTTTTAGAATATTTAGAAGTGAATGGTGTACATTTTGAATGTTTTGAGCAGTCTTGAAGCCAGTGAAAACAAGTTTACCAGTGTGATGTATCGCTACCTTTTCTCTTGTACCACGCACTGAATAATAAGCAGATGGAAATAGCTCTGGATGATAATCAAATTCACCTGAAGACCTTTCCATGAGCTTCAATAAGTTTATACCAGTACCAATGAATGAACTCGCCACCATATTCACAATTCTTTTTTCCTTGATCTCCAGTGGATTGTATGTCTTTTCACAGAATAGTTTTATCGCATCATCAGCTATTTTTTCTGTTTTAGCACCTACAACGTTTATTTTACCATTTCGAAATATCAAGAGACAGCATCCAAAATCCTTACAGATAGCTCCATTGAACTTTTTCTTGTTGTATTTAACATTATCAAGCACAAACTCTAGAAACTCTAAAACAATAG